ATAATTAAAAAGTAATTTGAATTTTTTCTTTTTTCTTTTTTTTTAAAAAAAACCTATAAATAGGTATTTTTTTAAAAAAAAAATATTAATATTTTATATATAATGAATAGCACGTAAGAATATATTAACTAAAATGCCCTAAAAAGTATAATTGATAATAGCATAATTGTAATTTCATATGAAATATAAAAATATTTTATTATTGCATGCATGGGGTGAACATGTTCACTAAATTAAATAAATAAATAATTGTTGTTTTTTGTGTTTTTAATAAATTTGTCTTTAAAATGTTTTTATATCTCACTTTATTTTTATTATTATTATTATTATATAATAGTGATGACAAAGCGTGTTAAAAGTACTTGGGTTGACCTATGAAATTAGTTTACAATCCCGACACCTTTGGCTTGCGAGCTGAAATATTAGCGGTGTAATAAACATTTCATTTTTGTTCATTTTGGAATATGGATGACTACCTTTCTAATTGTTTTTTTTTTTTCTTCCTTTTTTATGTCCAAAATTATGAGTATTTGTAGCTAAATGATTATTTTTTCTGTCCAATTTGAAAGTCTAGATATTTTATTTTGGTACGTTCAATTACAAAGTAAATATTTTATTAAATATCTTACTTTTTTTTCACAAATATCTCTACTTTACATCACATCATTACTTTTACACCAAAACGTAAGGGCAAAAATATCATTACACTACTTTTAACTGTCCACTATGATTAAAATATTATTATTTCTTAAATACCACGCCAAAAGTAATTGTATATTTTATATGCGGACGGAGGGAATACGATTTACTGTGAGTGTTAGTTTTTCGAGTGACAATAAGTTTATTAAACTTTAATTAATTGAATATCGAATTCGATTATATATATATACATATATATATATATATGTCCCCATTGTCCAAGTTATATAGGACATCTTCAAATGAGGATGAGGTTGTCCAAGAATGTCGATCATCTTCTCCATCTTTCAATTTTCACATCAATTTATACTAACCAACCATTAAATTCAAATAAGTGTGTATGATTTCAATATTATTTTATTATTCTAAATAAAAAAATATAATATTTTTTCATAAAATAAATGTTTTAATAAAATTTTTACGGATTTTTAATAACTAACAACAAAATTTTCAAAAAATTTCAAATATTAAGAGTCTGTTCACCTTATAATTTTTTTTTTCACACAAATTCTTATAAATGTTACTATAAAATACAACACATGTATATTTGTACAATATATTTTATCTACTTATAAAAATCAATAAGTAAAAAAATAAAAAAATACTACCTCCGTTATTCAAATTTATTTTCATTTTTTTTATTGTCATCTAAATTTATTTTTGTTTTTATTTTTAATAAAAAATACCATTCTTTTTACTTTTTCTTTACTTATAAAAGTAAAAATTTCTATTTCTACTTATTTTTTTTAAAAATTCGTATCCGATCAAATGAGCACACAATGGAACCAAGGAGGAGGTAAAAGGTAAATATACTCTAAAATAACACAACAGAATTATTTTTTTTGGCCTCTATACCTCCTCAAAAAATATTTTTATTATTATTAAATAATAATAATAATAATAATAATAATAATAATACAAAGGGTAAACTGTTTCTTTAGTCCCGTAACTGGATCCGCTTATCATTTTAGTCTCGTAAGTGGAGCATGTCGCAAACTAGTCCCATAAGTGAAAGATTTTCGCTGTTTTAGTCCTCCGGCGCCGGAGATGCCCGCGTGGCTCGCCGGAGGTGATGTGTCTACCGGGCGTCGCTGACCTGGCAAACACGTAGATTTTTTTTTATTTTTTTTATTTTTTAAAATTTTTTTAAAACTTATTTTTAATTTATTTTAAATTTTATTTGTATTTTTTTATTTGATCCAATTAAAAAAAATAAAAAAAATATATATCCACGTGTCCGCCAGGTGTCGCTGACCTGGCGGACACGTCACCTCTGGTGAGCCACGCGGGCGTCTCCGGCGCCGGAGGACTAAAATAGCGAAAATTTTTCACTTATGGAACTAGTTTGCGACATACTCCAATTACATGACTAAAATGATAATGAGATCCAATTACGGACCTAAAAAAACAGCTTACCCTAGTATAAAAGCCACTTGAGAGAGAGATGACAGTTTATGGTTTGACCATTATTTATTCCAATATTTCGGAAAGGACTTTTTCTTCTACTTTTTGTCTCTCATATTGCTTTATTTTATATTATTTTATTTTTCCAACCAAATTTATTAATTATTATATCCCACAAAAATTAAAGGTACAAAAAAAATAAAATTTAATTTTTAGGGTAAAAGTAAATGTAATGAAAAAAAATATATATATATCTCATTATGATTTAATCATTTTGAAAGATTTGTTTCTTAAGGAAAAAAAAAAAAAAAAAAAAAACTTCTTTAAGATTTGCTGCAATATATATTGCCTCTGGTATGAAAATATTATAGATACAATGTAAAATATAATAGATAATATATATTGTATAAAATATTAACATGTATTGTCATTTTTATTTTATGTGTTATAGAATTATATCTAATACTATTTCCGTCTCACGTACCGTATCTGCTACACTGTAGACACGGTATTTTAGGAGATGTGTAATTAGTAGATAATTAAGAATGTATTCGTAAAAATAATTATCCTATAATATAAATAATTATAAATTAAGATTAAGATAACTAATTAGTTTAATTAAAATTAAAAATAAAATAAAATAAAAAAATTTAAAATGAGATTTAAGTGTGTAATCATTTTCAAAAAAAAGGAAAGTGACACGGTATGTGGAACGGACAGAAACGGCACCGTGGACATGATATCTGGGACGGAGGAAATATATTGCATGATATATATTGTAGTCCGACACTAATTTTATTTAATCAGCACGGTAATCGACGTTTTATATATATATATATATGTATTTGAATGTAATAAATTAAAATTGTCACAATCAACATGGGCGGAAAAGGAAAAACGTGATAAATAGTACTCACTGCGTTCCAATACAATAGTCTTATTTACTATTTTTGTCCGTTTCAAAACAATAGTCTTATTTTCATAAATAATCATATCACTATAAAAGTATCCTTACTTTTTCATTATTATTACACAATTGACACTACTTTTTACACTAATACACTCACAACGGCAAAAAAGTCTTTTACTCATATTTTTTATCCACTATCAATATAATACTCAATCCGTCTCGTAACAAAGTATTCATTTTTCCATTTTAGTCCGTCCCATAACAAAATATCTATTTTATTTTTTAGTAACTGTACTATCTACCTAACATTGCAAATACCCTTACAACTTACAATATATTACACAAATGTCATTACCTTTACATCATGCATACTAATAAGGTTACTTTAGTAATTTCTACTTTATTCATACTACATCTCAATATAATACTAATATTTCTAAAACTACGTTCAAAAAGCAAATGAATATCTAGTTATGGGACGGAGGAAGTATCAATATTTCTTAAATTTCGTGTCCAATACAGCCAAGACTATAATTATGGGACGGACGAAGTATTAATTATTGGTCCAACTCACTGTATATTTAATCAACTTAGGTTAGGTATTCAAGTGATCTATGTGCTTATTGTTAATTTATTAAATTTATATTTCATATATATATATAATATAATATCTTGATTTCTTAGATCCAATTTATGTTTAATAAGAAGTTGTGACTTCATTTCACAATCTACAATTTTATTTATTTCTTTTCATATAAGAATAATGATAATATTGATTTGCATGCATAATTCAAAGTTAGATTTGTTTGGAATTGATTTTGTAGTTGCAATAATAAAATTTTAAATTAAAATATTTTTATAGTATACATATTGTGATATTATAAATAATATACACGATCTTTTGATATAATATTTTATATAAAAAAATATATACGCGGTGTGTTTGGTTTGGGTTTAATTTGTAGTTTTTATTTAAATAGTATTTTAATATTCTCATTTATTAAAAGGTTAATATATAAGAATATTTAAAATTATAAAAAAAAAATCATAGTCGGATGTATTTTTTTTGGGATTTTAATTTTTAATTTTTAATTTTTTTATTTGAATTTGAATAATTATATATAAAAAAAAAATAAAAAAAAAATCAATAGAATGTGACAAATTCTACACCACAAACACACATTAATACTCAAAATCCAACAAAGCTATCAAAGTATACATAATTCAATATATATATATATATATATATGAATTCAAGACAACTCATGATTAAAAAGTTGGACCATTAGAAAATTTGAAAATAATACAACAAAATTTCCCTTCACTATATATATATATTTATTTATTTATATGTGTGTGTGACAAATTTCAGCAAACCCTAAAGATGATCAATTTCTCAATAATTTTCATTTCCAAACTAATTTCATGCAACAATTAAGGCATGCATATAATTTTTCCACATTTATTGGATTCAACATGCATTAAAAATTGATCATAATAATAAAATTGCTTATTGTAATTTGAAGATTTTGAATAATTCTATCTCCTAATTTAAAATTGGTAAAAAAAATATTGCATAAAGTAGAGAGCTTCACGCAATTTTTAAAAATATTTGTAATATTTATTTAAAATACGATAAAGACTAGTAAAATTTTTAAATTATAAAAAAATTGGTGTAGACAATTTTAAAACAAAATGTGAGTTTTAAGTAATTTTAAAAAATAATACTTCATCCGTCTATATCTAAGGATCATATTTACATTTTGTATCATTGTACTTAACATTAAAAATGTCGTTATATTTATATAATTTTTTGTAGAAATGTTTTTCTATTGACACTAATGAAATTATTTTTGTAATTTTTTTCTTAATTTGTACTATATTTATATATAATAATTAATATTCAAATATCAACATAAAAAAAAATAAATAAATAAACGAGACTATTAGAACTGGACAAAAATAGTATGTAATATTTTTAAATTATAAAGAAATTGGTGTAGACTTTTCAAAAGTGTGGGTTATAAGTAATTTTAAAAAATAATAATAAAAAGAAAATTAACACATACACACAATTTTTTCTTAATTACTTTCAATATATATATATATGTGATTATGGTTAGGCGTTAAAAGTAGCTCCAGAGCTTCCCGCAATCGGAGCCGTTGGATGGTTCATCGGACGGCGGAGATTCAATCCTGGGCGGGCTAACGAGCATGCCCTTGGCCATATCCATAAGAAGATTCGGCATATGAAACAATGCCTCCTCATCTACAAACTCCAAACGATCCTCACCGTTCATCAAACTCTCATCATCGCAATTATCAGCCGTCCGATCTTCCTGCCGCTCCTCCTCCGCAGCCGCCGTTTCCTCTTCCGCCCGCCGCATCATCTCCGCCGCGCCGGCGGCGGCTCTCCGAATGTCCGACGGCGAAGGTGACGACGGCGCGGGAAACAGCCCCACGTGGCCCGGGAAATTCAATGCCACGTCACTCCCCTTCAGCGCCGCCGCCGCCACGTCGTAGGCGGCGGCGGCCATCTCCGGCGACCGGTAAGTCCCCAGCCATATCCTCGTCGTCTTCCTCGGCTCTCGAATTTCCGACACCCATTTTCCGCTCCGGCTCCGAATTCCCCGGTACACCGGATGTCTTCCGCCGCCGGACCGGCCGCCGGAGCTCATCTTAGTGGAGATTTTATTGATCTTGATTTTAGGCGATTGATCAATCCTGGCCGTTGATTTAAAATCCGGCGGCGGCAATGGCGGCTGATCGTCAATTGGTGAAGAAGAATTTGAATGTAATTGAATGGAAGATTCAGACATATATAGATACAGATTGTTAGTATATATAAAATTGGAAGATATATATATATAATTGTTTGTATGTATATATTTGGTAAATTTAAAGATTGATAATGTGTATATATATATATATATGTATGTAATAAGTGTGTGTAAATGTAAAGGGAAAACCGTGGGAGATTCGTGGGGGAGTATGTGAAAATTAATATTTAATAATTAAAAAAATACAAAATAAAAATAAAAAATAAAAAAAGGTTATAGAAAGAAAAACACGTATTATTACAACACACAAATCCGTAGTCATTAGCTGTCTTTTCTCACATGATCGACTACTATGCTAGCCATTGCTATATATGATGTAATAAATAGTTTATATATATATATTATCTTCGTCCAGTTCTAAGGATCTTATTTACTTTTTGCATGTTAATATTTGAATATTAATTATTACATCAAAAAACGTAATAATACAAATTAAAAGAATTAAAAAATACTTCAATTGGTGTCAATAGAAGATATTTGTACCAAAAAAATTATACAAATATAAAAATATTTTTAATATTAAGTACAATAATGTAAAAAGTAAATATGATCCTTAGAAGCGACGGACAGAGTATTAGTTTATATGTAGTTGGTTTATATGTTGTATTGTATTAAATTAATACTCTATCCGTCCCGGTGCAAAGTTGTCATTTACTTTTTGCACGTAAATTTTTTAATATTAGTATTATAATTAGTTGTAATATAAAATAATTGAATTTATTATAGAAAATGACAATTTTTCAATGGGATAGAGAGAGTCAAATAATATATATCTATAATAATATTGTGCTATCAGCACAGTGTTGACAGTAATATATTATTATTAATATATTTATTTTATTATTTTGAGTTTTTTTACAATGCATTTATTTTATAATTTAGTAGATATGATTATCATATTAATAAAATATTTTTATATTTTACTTAGAATTATGAGTTTGTTTGTTTAGTGTTTTGGTTTGAAATATTTTTTTTATATGAAGTAAAAAATATTGCATAGATAATATAAAATTAATATTTTATATTAAATTTTAATTTTTTATAAAATATATATTAAAAATTATATCGAAAAAAAAAGTTTTGAGAGGGCAAACTTTTTTAGTTCCGTAACTGGACTCCTTTATCATTTTAGTCTCGTAAGTGGAGCCTGTCGCAATCTAGTCCCATAAGTGAAAAATTTTCGCTGTTTTAGTCCTCCGGCGCCGGAGATGCCCGCGTGGCTCGCCGGAGGTGACGTGTCCGCCAGGTGTCCCGCCAGGTCAGCGACACCTAGCGGACACGTGGATTTATTATTTTTTTCATTTTTTTAATGTTTTTTAATGGGACGAAATAAAAAAAAATATACAAATAAAATTAAAAATAAATTAAAATAAGTTTTAAAAAAAATTAAAAATGAAAAAAAAAAATCCACGTGTCCGCCAGGTGCCGCTGACCTGGCGGACACGTCACCTCCGGCGAGCCACGCGGACATCTCCGGCGCCGGAGGACTAAAACAACGAAAATTTTTCACTTATGAGACTAGTTTGCGACAGGCTCCACTTATGGGACTAAAATGATAAGGAAGTTCAGTTACAAGACTAAAAAAAACAGTTTACCCTTTAATTTATATATTCTTACATATTATACATCACATAGAAAAAATATAAAATATTATTAACAGATTAAATAAAAATAAATGTGTTATGTGATGTAAATATACATTGGATATACTATTTTTATAGAAATATTTATTGTTGATATAATAATATTTTTAATAAAACTAAGTATTAGATATGATCAGTATGTTTTCAACAGTTTTTAAATGAATTGATTTTTTATATGTAGTATGGTGAACTGTATTGATAATATAAAAAATAATATTTTATATTTAATAATTGATTTTTTAAAAGTGAATAATATATACCTTGTATTAATATGTGTATATTTATATTTTTTTTAATAATATTTATTTTATTGAAAAATGTTGAGTGAACGGATATATTTGAGGAACACTATAAATTAATAAATTGTTGACACTATGCTCACACTACAACAATTATATGTTGACTTATTGAATTTAATAAATTTCTCAATATTCAAACCATGTTTTAATATTATAGTATATAAAATATTAGTTGACTAAATTACATGCCTTGTTCCAATTAGATCTTAGTTAAGTTTGCTAAATTAAAATTTTCCTAAAATTTTCTTTAATAGATAATCCCTCGATTCCACCTAATTTGTCTACTTTAGTTAGGGCACGGAATTTTTTACGTATTACTCCCTCCGTCCCAAATATCATGTCCACGTTGCTATTTCTGTCAGTTCTACATACCATGTCACTTTTCTTTTCTGGAAAATGATTACACACTTTAATTTCATTTTAAATTTTTTAATTTTAATTAAACTAATTAGTTATCTTAATCTTAATTTATAATTATTTATATTATAGGATAATTATTTTCACTAATACATTCTTAATTATCTACTAATTACATCCCTCATAAAATACCGTATTTACAGTGTAGCAGACACGGGACAGAGGGAGTATATAATTAGTAAGTAATTGAAAAGTGTATTATTAAAAATAATTATAATATAATAAAAGTAATTATAGATTAAGATTAAGATGACTAAATAGTTTAAGTAAAATAAAAACATTATAAATGAGTATGAATTTTAAAACATGATAAAAGTGTATAACACGGGAAAAAATCATTTTTGGTCTCAATATAATCAAAACTCATCATTTTTTGTCATAATATAAAATTTTTATCAATTTTGGTCCCAATATAAAATTTTTATCAATTTTAGTCCCAATATAACTAAAACTCATCATTTTTTGTCCCAATATAATCAAACCTTATCTTTTTTTATCACATTGTCAACAAATAGACGGAAAATGCTTTTTATCATTTATGTGGAGCATTATATATAAATTTATTCTTTTTATCATTCCGAATTTTTTACAATAAATGTATAAAATTTTCAATTTAATAAATATAATTCTCACACATAAATAAAATGTCTTTGTATTTCATTTAAAATCTCAATCATGCTACTCTCAATCAATTGTTTTTTCGATGTCATTTTTAAATAGTATTCATTTAAAATAAAATAAATTACTATTATTATTATTTTTTTTTTTGTCTTGTATCTGACCTCATTTATGATATTATATTTGTTTGTAAATAGAATAAATAAAAAAAGAGACATGAAAGATAGAGCACTTTTACACTTTTGTCGAAGACCAAAGCAATATTACCTTTAGCCCATTCTTTTTTGTATGATAAATTTTTAATATATAAATTTTTCATGTTTTGATTTTAATGTGGGTTTTTCAATAATATAATTTAAATAAATTTTATTTTAATCTTCAATTTTATTTAAAATATTTTAAACTCTATATATTGAAAAGAAAATATATATATATATTTACATTTAAACATAACTTTTAATGATAATATTGGATCTTAAAAATCTATAAATAAATAATTCCATCCAACCTAATTTCAATAATGACAAAATAGCAATGAAATTGAACTGATCAATGAAGTGGAATATATTTAACATTTATCAAATTAATTGAAATATAAATTAGAAATATTACAAATGAATTGAAGTTAGACAAATTAAATAAAAAAGAAAAAAAAGTATAATTTAGAAAAAAGGAAATATCTTTTTAGAGGGAGAGAAAAGGATGTCGATTGTTAGACAGCCACCACGTGTTCCAACAGTTTACCATGATCTTCCCTTGATTCTCTTTATTTTCTACAATGTTTTGTTTTTTTAAAAAAAAATATATATACTCCGTCCGTCTAAAAAAGAACTATCCATTTATTTGTTTACATAGTTTTAAAAATATTAGTATTATATTTGAATATAATAGGAATAAAATAGAAATGACTAAAATAATCTTGTTAGCATATGTGATATAAAATTAATGGCATTTGTGTAATATATTGTAAGTTGTAAAGATATTTGTAATGTTAGGTAGATAGTACAGTTATTAAAAAAGGAAATGGATGCTTTGTTATGTAACGCACTAAAATGGAAAAATGGATACTTTGTTATGGGGCGGAGGGAGTATATTGCATTTCACATATTTTTTTCACAAAGTTTTAGAAACATTAGTATTATATTGAGGTGCAGTAGGAATAAAATATAAATGACTAAAATAATTTTATTAGTACGGTGTGATATAAAAGTAATGATATTTGTGTAATATATTATAAGTTGTAAGGGTATTTGTAATGTTAGATATATAATACAATTACTAAAAAAGAAAATGAGTATTCTGTTATAAGACGGACTAAAATGGAAAAATAGATAATTCTGTTATGGGACAGAGGGAGTATTATTAATACCGTAATATAATCAATTATATATAAAATACTACTATTAATTTTTTAAAACTAAAATTATAAATTCAAATATCTAAAGTATGGTTGCCCACGTTTATTTTTTCGATACGATTTTCAATATATATATATATATTATTCTCCTATAAAAATTAACAGTTAATATAAAATAGTAATAACTCCATTTTGAAAAAGAGAGCATGTGTTTGTTTTGTGTACATAAATTTTTTAATTTGTAGTAAAAATAGATAAAAATATCATTATTAGTATAGTGTAATATAAGAGTAACAACATTTTAGTAATACTTTTCTTTGTTCCTTAACAAACTATTTATTTTTCCGTTTTGATCCGCTAATAACAAAGTATTTATTTCTATTTTTAATAAATATATTATCTACCTGATATTACAAATATTCTTTCAATTTACAATATATTATATAAATGTCATTATCATACCATACAATACTAATAAAGTTAGTTTAATATTTTTACCTTTATTTCTATTACATCCTAAAATAATACTAATATTTCTAAAACTCCGTGCAAAAAACAAATAGATAAAAAGATATGAATCGAAGAGAGTACTGTATTGTAAATTGTAAATATATTTATTATGTTATGTAAGTTGTAGAATTACTATTTTTAAATAATATCCTTATTTTAGGATGGAAAAAAATAAAAAATGATATTCTTTTTATGAGACGAATAGAGTATTTTATATTTTTGATACAATTTTTCATATAACACATAAAAAAATCAATTCATTTAAAATCGTTGGGTGACCAGAGCCATTGTGGCACGTGACTTTATATATATATATATATATATATAATTAGTAATAAAATTATATATTAAGGGCAACCAATTGAATGAATATAGTCAGCAAACGTATTCTTCAGTTGAATCTTGTCAAATTTGTCGGTTATTAATTATTGCAAATTAATATTTAATTCCTAATGATCTCTCACAATTATTTATTTATTAACATTTTTTTTTTATAACGTGAAACTCGCATCTGCTATCCAAAAGTGCGCACCGGATAAATCTCGGTCGAATCTAATACCCTGCAAATCAGGCTCAACGGGAACGTAACTTCAGAGCATTGGTAATCAATACTAAATGCTAATTTAGATTTATAATATTTGTTAACCCTCGTGTTAGGTTTTATTTTTAACTTTTTAAAAGAAAATTATTAAGTAAGACTGAAAATTTTTAATGTTCCCTCCGTCCCCCATAACTAGATATTCGTTTACTTTGTGCACGTAATTTTAGAAATATTAGTATTATATTGGAATATAGTAAAAATAAAGTAAAAATGACTAAAATAACTTAATTAGTATTATGTGATATAACAGTAATGACATTTGTATAATATATTGTAAATTATAAGGATGATTGTAATGTTAAGTAAACAGTACATTTACTAAAAATAAAATAAATACCTTGTTAACGAACGAACTAAAGGAAAAAATAAAAAATAAATAGTTTATTATACGAGGCAGGAAGTAATATATATTGATAGATATATAATATCATCATTTCTCACTGCTATTCGGACACATGCAAATAAAAAAAAAAAAACAAATACAATCATAGCTTTTATTTCTTACCCAGGAAACAAGAATAAATTGATGAAATACTTATTTACCATTTCATTATGATTGAATATTATTATTATTTGAGTCAATTATGTTTCTAATACTTATAACTTTATTAAAAAAAAAAAAAAATTAAAAACATTATATATAATACTATCCCGGCCATAAGATTTCGTTTACTTTTTATGTTGATATTTAAATATTAATTATTATATCAAAACGTAGTGCAAATTAAAAAAAAAATTACAAAAATACTTTAAAAATTATACAAATAAATATAAAATATTTTTAATATTAAGTAAAACGACGCAAAAAGTAAATATAACCCTTAAAAGGTGGACGGAGGGAGTATTTATTTTCTATTTAAGTTTTTTGCTATACTCAATACTTTCAAAACATATCCAAAACCGACATTTGAAACCATAATGTAATAAGCATCCAAATCACTAATTCAAACTCGACTACGAGACAAAGATAAAGAGTAGCCGTGCAGATGAACTTCTGACCATGAGATCATATAAGTCAAACAATCAATATCTTTTGATCTTATCTGCCACATACAACTTGTCTAGCGAGACTTTTCTTGACTGAAACTAATCAGTACATGAAAATACATATGATGTGTGAACATATATATCTTAATCACGTCAATTTCCACTTTTCATGCTGATCGGATCAAATTAGCATAGTATTTGTGTTATATAGAAATATGAATTATCAACTTGTATTCTATGCGCTGACCAAATTAACACCGTATCTGCGGACTATAAAAATATACAAATGATGTATTGGTAACTAATTATAATCATCATGGTAAGAACAACCAAAGTAAACAGTCCCAAAGACAAAGACAAGGACAGACACAAGAAAACAGGGCATCAAATCAAATGATATGATGAAATATTATTGTTGTAAAGTGGTAATTAGAATGTCAGATTCAGACATAAATCCAACCAAATTCCAACTTCAATCTTTCTATGTCTCCTATGCTTTCTCGACGGCTGCGGATCCGGTACTAACTCAATCAAATCAGTTGATCCGACCAATATATGACATAAAAGTATCCACCGTATATTATATACTAGGCTAAATTGTACAAAATTTACCTGTGATTTAATGAAATTGCGTCAAATCCCCTATACTTTTAAAACTGCGTCAAACTCCCTCATGGTTTTATAAACTCTGCGTCTAACCCCCTCGACGCTCCTTATTTAACGGTATTTGACCTAAATGCGCTCAAATTGCGAATAAATTTTAAAATCTCAATTTCTAAATCTCTAAAATTACAAATATATTTATTTTTCTTATATTTAGCCTAAAAAAATAGTAAATATTCTCAAAATTAGCTATTTTTCTCAGGTTTTAAAGTTTATTTTTACTGTTTTTTAAGCTAAATATAAAAAAAAATAAATATATTTGTAATTTTAAGGATTTAAAAATTGAAATTTTAAAATTTATTAGCAGTTTGGGCACATTTAGGTCAAACACCGTTAAATAAGGAGCGTCGAGGGAGTTAGATACAGAGTTTATGAAACCACGAGGGACTTTGACGCAGTTTTTGAAGTACGGGGGATTTAACGCAATTTTGTGAAATCACATGTAGATTTTGTGCAATTTAGCCTATATACTATTATACATATTTATGATCTAGCATATGTTATGTTATAATATACTGACCAAATTGATCGGGTCAGCACCTGATCCGCGCCCTTTCTCGACTCATCCACTTGGCACAATGCACACTAGTTTCACTTGCACAACAATTATTTTACAAGTCACACACACCTATATACATGCATACATACATACATATATACATATATATTCTCAAAAACTAAGTACTATTAAATAACAAAACCATATTTGAATGAATGATGGATGACATGACCCCAACACTACTTAGGAAATACTTACCTACTTATCTTATTATGTCCAATTTAACAATCTTCAGCAATAAATACATGTATTATTATATCAATTTTTTATTCAAAACATCGTTTAATAATGAAGTTGTTGATTATTTCTATCTTAAACTCATTTCCACACTAAAAATAATTGTTATTCATTTTTTAAAATAACTACGAACTATGAAATCTTTCAATCACTTATTACACATTTCACAAAACATTATTTATTACTTTTCCAACATATATACAAAGAAACAAGATTTTTCATTTTTTAAACCATTTTTTTTATTAAATAGGTGTTCAAACCCAAAAGATCAATTTACATTTTATTCAAAACATCGTGTCTATATCTAAACATGTATTCTCACCTTAAAATTAAACATCAGAGCAATGCATATGGACTACTGATTTATAAATAAATAGATTAAAAAAAAAAATCAGGATATTCCCACGTACAATGTATATATGGATGCACAATGTGCATGTATTTACATAATATTAGTGGGGGCATGGAGGTGAGTGTGTTCTTTTAACAAAAGATATATATGATTTTTCAATAATATTAATATGTCACACACATTTATTATTTTTATATTCTCTACACAATTTTTCATACCTCAGATCAATTTTATAATACTAATAGAAAGACGTTATTACAAAAAATTATAAAGATGTTTTTAATGTTAAGTATAATAATACAAATAGTAAATGTGACCCGCGGACAGAGGGAGTATTTTAATTTATTCATAAAAAATTACTCAATATCATATTTAGTTAAAAAGTTCAATTATTCTTCAAATTTCTATCGACTATTATTCATCTATTTACACAATTGCCACTAATAGACCTTGCATATTTCTTATACTCAACCTACTTTAATTAAATAAATAAATAAAATACATATCAACCCTATAAAGTTTCAATTTTACCCTCTACAAAAAGCACAATAACAACTTTAAAATACTATCTATCACTTAATCTCCCGTAACCAAAAGTTGTAACCAAATGTTTTGAGCAACACTTTGTCGTAGGCAAAGTAAGTAGTTTATTTGAATGTAAATAATACATCACAAAAAACACCAAAACTATTAACTTACCTTACAAAGCATACTCTCTAAATTGGATACTAAAGATTTATTACCCAGAAAACACCAGATGGCTATGCAAAAAAAAAATCATCTTAATCAGATAATTTAAGACCAAAACCATAATTCAAAGTATTTCCAGCAACTAAATAACAAGCATGTAACACAGCAAAAGTCTAAGTGAGCAATAAAATAGAGAAGAAAAATAAAAGAAAATGCAGAGGATAGGGTAGGTGTATTCTTACTTAAGATCATGGAATGCAACTTTTGTCGATGTTCACTCATCTTTCTTGACTTTGGACCTTACGGGCCTAGCTGGTTTTATGATCTTTCCGAGCAGGATTAGGACGATCGGGAGAATGGTTCCTATGTAGTATACACTTGCATAAGCAGCCACTGTTTCATGCAGGCTTAGTACCTGAAAATAACATATAGCGAGATGGCAAGTTTTAACAACTCAAAATTACGATTAACATTCTAAGTTAATACTCCCTCCATCATCCAATTGTGTGTTCATTTGACCGAACACACGTTTTAGGAGAAATGGGTAAAAATAGAAACTTCTATGTTGTGTTCTTTTGTGGGTTTTTATTATTTAGATTATTTTTTCCCTAAAAAAGTATCACATCAAACAATTACTTTTCTTATTTTATACTCCCTCCGTCCCTTAACAATATATCTATTTTTCCATTTTCGTCTTTGCCATAACAAAATATTAATTTCCTTTTTAGTAACTCTAGTATGTACCTAGCATTACAAATATCCTTCAAATTTACATATATTACACAAATGTCGTTACATTTATATCATACAATACTAATATTCCTAAAACTTCGTGCAAAAAGTAAATGGATAGATAGATATGGGACGGAGGGAGTATTATACTATAAATTTATTTTACATTCAAAACATTACATCAACCTCTATTTATATCATATCAAACAACTATTCAAATTCAACTTTTTACTATTCAAAATCCAAACCCAAATACTAAAACTCACAAACAAACACACTATTACTTTTTTTTTGTAAAGAAAAGGTAGAAAATATGGTATTTTTTTACTAAAACAAGAAACGGGAATAAATTTAAATGACAACAAAAAAAATGAAAGTGAGAATAGATTTAGATGACAAATGGAGTATATAAAAATGTGGGGGAAGAGCTGACCAAGAAGCCGACGCTGGAGTAGTTCAAGACCAGTAGAGTGTAAGCAAAGTTTAGGAATACAAGCACTTTCTTGAGCTGAGCATTCTGGCAGGCTTGCTGCCATCTGTAAAGAACTGCTTGTAGAGGGAGAAAGGGTCGGGTAAGAGAGTTATAATAATGTGTCGTAATTAAGTGATATGTGTGGCTAAAAGTGTCACCTCTTGAACCGGCAATCATTGTAGCAGATTGAACAAAGAATATGATGTACCCTGGATATAATCCCTGCAAAGAGTGATACGAGTTTCAATCAGTAAACGTAAAATTAATAAATGAAAGACGCGTTATATTTTGTGCTGGGGTACTTACGTGCCATACAGCACTCACGGTTTGAGTAGCCAGTAGCTGAAAGAATCCCGGTTTTTTGCCAGGCTGGACAAGCCTCTCATAAACATCTACACGAGAAACCAATGAGTAGATGGCACAAATTATTTACAACTATAGCCGCTCTGAAGCTAACAATAGTATAAGCAGCCAAAGGATTTATTTTTTAACCGTAAACCGATCAAGAGGTGAGCAAAGTCGGAGACGCATTCACTTGAATAAATACTTTACATTTGTGTTTGTTTAAAGAACTTTGTTAGATTTTCACTATTCATAAAAGAATTTTCCTCAAAAATATCGAATCAAACACTTATTTTTCATTTTTTATATTATAATAAAAATCAACGTTACATTTAAAACATCACATCATACCGCTATTCCAATTCAAATTTTTTGCTATTCAAATCTTCATCCAAAATTCAAACTTTCAAACAAACACACCCTTAATGTAAAGATTACTTACAGTGTCTAAGCCAGGTGCTGACTTGAATATTCCATACAGTTGGTAACTGCACCGAACTCGTCGCCAACTCATTACCTAATATGTCAACATTTTTTGCTCGGTCCCATCGAGGTTTAGGCGGATTAGAATCTGTCCAGCCACTAAATCCCAGACCAGAAATAATAAAAGAAGCTTCTGAGATGGACCAAATGAAATAGTATTTCCAACGGGCAGTGAAGCCAGTCATGTACTGATAACTCAATTTTTTCCAGAAGCTGTAGTCTTGGTACACTGGCTCTGTGAATCGGGTAAGTGGAAAATGTGGAGTGAGGTAAAGATATATCCCCATACAGATTCCAGCTTGTAAAAGTGCCCTGAGAGTTGCAAGATAAGGAGACGGACGTGATCCCTGCTTGGAAGGTTGCCAGATCTGTTACAACCAATATTGAAGATTAGTAGTAGCAATGAACGATACATACAGTAGAATATATACAAAAAATATATATATAGAAAAAATGCAATACCCCTTTCCTCTCCGTCCATTCCAAATAATCTTTCATCTCATACACAGGTCCAGCAAAGTGACTACCACAACAAAGACAGTAACCAAAGTACTCAAGTAGTGATGGCAACTTGACCAACCGATTTTTCTTCTGAGCCTCACGAAGGCCATCCTCTTTCAGCAATCCATCATTGTAATTAATGACACATGAAATTATTTTCAGTGTTATCACCATAAGTGCCCCTGTGAGTTGGAAGCAGCAAGAAAGTAAATAAAATATAGATATATATTACTGTGGTTCTTATTTCTTTTTAATTTTTTAAAATCACTTCTTTTTACTCTGTGGTTCTTCGCTAGCAATGGAGTGATATGTCCGGATATCTTCTTTTTCAAGAATCGGGATATATTATAAAAGGGCCTATACTGAGAAATAAGGTATTTTACCATGGTACAGTTTAGGCTTCAGATAATGACAAGTTTTATGAACAAACTTTAGCATATTTCGACATCAACTATAATAACACACTGCAGGAGAATAATTAAAATCAGCTTCTACACAGTGGAAAAAGTTTTTCACTGATGCAAGACTGCAAATTGGGTATTGATAAAATATCGACGGCAGTAGGCTTTTGTAAGAAAAACTATTGTGGTACTTCAAAAAAGAAATTTTCTCCTAATACTCCTCTTCAGGTCTTTCATAATAAACAGATTGGTATCGTGTGAAGCTAAAACATATCAAGTGAAAATGACAAACTCATGATTATTGTGTGTGTGCGCGCAAGTGTGTAAGTCCAAACACTAAATTGGATACAATAAATACTGAAATAATCTCACACATTCATTGTTATAAATTTACATCTAAATTTCTTAAAACAGGTTATAGTCTTAAATGATTATGCCCTCTGTCTACTCCATATAAACCTCTATAGAATATTAGCATGTCATAAAACAGATGGAATTGGAAATAGACGAGAAAAATGTCCGATGCTAGAAGCAAACCAACAATATCAGGAAACAAGATGGGGCTAACCTGTAGCATCTATACCTCCTTCCTTCCATGCATCACCGCTCATGTAGTATACATGGCTACGCATTACACCAATAGTAAAATATTTTAGAAAACTTTTTCATCACAACAATGCAACTTTCAAGTACACAATTAGTATGATCTAGTGACATGAAAACAGAATTTTAGTCAAATTCCATTTGGCAAACATCTAGGTCAAAGTCCCGTTCCCAGAACACCAACTAAGTGATTGAGTGCCACTTAACAATATAAATGCCGGTACATAAGTTTAAAACAACTAAATTAAGGAAAAGTAATAAACATCTAAAAAGGTCAAGAATTATGCTAGTACACAAATAAAATGTAATCCTTTCATTATAAATCAGCATTCCACAAGAGCAACCCCAGTTCATATTCATCTAGTAGAACTTGTATGAAATTATGAAGGGAAAACTGAAATGATAAATGAGCTGATTTTTATTTTAGAGAAAGAAAAGATGAAACTGTAAATTCTGCTCAATTCTTAATGTACATGATCACAAGCATCGCAAGGCTATTCCGAAGCTTTAACCCATGTGTATTTGCATGGAATTATTATTTGATCTTTATAGGCACAATGCAATTACTTTTACAAATTTACTAGGATGACGCAGGCCCTGTTAATAAATATGCTATGCTAGTCATAGTTTGCATTAGGTTTGCTTAATTTTCCATAAAATCAGCTGTTATATCTCAGCAAAGAGCAAAGTACACTTCAAAGATGAATACACACATTCTCGATCCTGAAGCTGAAATCATACGATAGTTAAAACTTGAAATTTACAGCTTTGTTCGGCTGTTAGTTTAGCAAGTTTTACACCCATCCCAACCACCTTAACAATGACATAAAGTCCTTCAAAGATAATTTTACTCTCTCTTATATATGCAAGTAAACAACTATATTTCAATCATCACTCGTATTCATTTTCGCATCAAACTTGCCGACACTTATGACATACACATAAACATTCAAATATAGATGCACTTTAAGACCGAATTTTTCACTAACATATGACATCACATCTACGATAAACATAATTATAATTAATATAAGTATAAATGTAAATGTAAAAGCACAACCATTTTTAGAACTCTTTAAAACATACATATCTGCGTCGTCGCGCACTCAAAATTACATCGAAACAAAGCCCAATTTTACGAAAATAATCATATGCATACTTATATGTCATGATGCTTTACTAAGAAAATCTCCAGGAAAGAAATTTAGGGAAGTAGATTGAAAAATGGAATCACTGCATACGTTTCGATTTTTTATAAGTTTTAAGCAAACAGAATTTGAAGACGACAAATTTATGAACAGAATAGTTATGACAAACGTAATGCTACATGCATTTGAGCAGCAGAAAAAGCAGCCTCGGTTTTGTCAAGTGAAACAATTAATTCTTCATTGAATGCTCTTTTTGATCTGAACATATATAGACAACAAATCTCAACGCCATAGTTGTTGAAGAACAAATTCACCTAATTTTTCCAAAAATTGAACAAATGATTGAATTCCATAGAAACGACAAAGCATATAACTCAACTAAATTAGACTCCGTGAAATTAAGCGCAGTATAAAACAACAATGGCAGATCGAGAATGTTGAAACAGAGTAAGGAGAGTAAAAAATCGAAACGCACCATCCAATGAGGTAGCCGAACGCGAGGAAGTAAGTAATGATCCCGCAGTACTTCCTACAAAGCACCATCGAAGCGTATCCCAACAGCATCGGCACAACGAAATGCAGATTCGAGGAGAATCCAAACGACAGATACGAAAGAAACGCGCCGGTCGCGGCGGAGTAAACGTGGCGCCCCGCCGCCCCCCCGGGGACAAGGCGGTGGAAAGCGCCGACCGGAATAGTGGCGACGAAGCACAGCAGGAAACGGAGCACCGGAACCGAGATGCCGATCGACGCCGCCATGGTGTCCATATCCGGTAGCTCCATAATGGCTGTTCAGATTGGGGAAATCGGCGGGTAACGAGCTCCGGCGGCAGAGGTCAATGGAGCTCCGGCGGCGGCGGCGGCGGCGGGCGGTAGAGGACAACCAAAATCGAATCAATGACGTCAGTTAAATCTTAGGCATTGCTGCAAATGGAAGCCATGGATGCACTCATTTATGGCGGAGATTGGAAGCAGAGCCGAAGCGCTGGTTTACGAGTTATTCGGGTCGGGTCGGATATTTGAGTCCGGGTTTGTTTAGATGATACTGTTTTGTTTATATAAACCCCAAAAACTTGCGGTATTATTTATTAACGCTAAATTTCATATTTATAAGTGGTTTCAAGAAATTGCGTTAAATTTTTGTGCTTTTGCGTTTGGAGGTTTTTATTTAACAATATTTAACATAAATACCGTTCAAACTGTAAATAAATTTTAAAATTTTAATTTTTAAATCTCTAAAATTAAAAATATGTTTAATTTTTTTTATATTTAGTTTACAAAATCAGTAAAAATAAACTCTTAAAATTTGAGAAAAATAACTACTCCCTCCGTCAGTAAAATGACATTTTTGCCCATATTTTTTTAAAAAAAAAAAAGTAATGATGATATGTAAATTAAGGGTATTTGTGGAAAAAAGTGAAGTATTTAATAAAATGTTTACTTTGTAGTTGCACGTTTCAAAATAGAAATATGTATACTTTCTAACTGGACGGATGGAGTATTTTTTAGTAAATTTACTATTTTTTTAAGACTAAATATAAGAAAAATGAATATATTTGTAATTTGAAAGGGTTAGAAAATGATATTCTAAAATTTGTTCGCAGTATGAGCGCATTTAGATCATATAACGTTAAATAAGGACCGTCGAGGGATTAAACGCTAGAATTTATGAAATCACGAGTTTAACGCAGTTTTAGAAGTACAAAAAAAATTGATGCAATTTTATGAAACCAGAAGTAAGTTTTGTGCAATTTAATCATTTATTAATACCCGTCAAATGATATTTGGTTATGGAATAATAAATTTTATTAATAATTTGTTATAATATTATTTTATTATTTTATATATAAATAATACTATTGGTATTTTAAATAATTTTAATATTATATCAATAGTATTATTGATATTTATATAGTTTTAGTATTATATTTTAATAATATATATATGTGGATATAATTAGATAATAGAAATTTATATAATACAAATAAATAAATAAAAAATTTATATAACTAATAAAAAATTTATTTATTTATAATTAACTTAAAATTAATTTTAGAAAAGATGAAAAATTTTAAATATAGATCAAAAGATATAAAAATAAAAAGATTTTAATTAATTATCTTTATTAAAAATAACGATGAGTCATGTTTTATAAACGGACAAAAAATCGAGTCATTCTTAGCAGAAATGAGAGAGTATTTTTTTCTACCAGTTTTCTTTTTTAAAAATATATATACATATGTATTTTTTTTAAAAAAATTATATATTTATACTTATTATTATTTTTTTTTATATTACCTACATATTTATTAATATTTAAAAAGTTATTTCTTCAAATCATTTACGAAACAAACACATCCTAAATGTTTCTCTAAACAAATAAAATAAGTTAATAATGGTAAGTTATGATATTGGCTTTATTCTTTTTATAAATTTTTTTCAACGCGTTTTTTCAAAAAACGAGTAATATACTATACATATTCATTATTTTTATATTTCATACCGAATTTTCAATACTTCACATTAAAAAATTTACTTTTCAACAATCTCACAAAACAAACACATCCTATCTCTTGTGATATTATTAATAATTTTTAATAAAAATTAATAAATATATATTTAAATATTTTAAAAGTTATAGTATTAAAATTTTTATATAATATAAATATGTAAATAGATATTGATTTTTTAATTAGCATAAACTAATTTTATAAAAGTTATAAAATTTTAAATATATGATATTGTATACTTAGGTAGTTAATTAAATTAATTTTATTTTTATTATGTATCTTTTAAATTAATAAAATTTACCTAATATAAAAAGATGTTACATAAAAGGAAACATACTAAAATAAAAAATTTGTAAGCCATGGATGCACTCAAAAGAAGAGTAACATTTATTTTTTGTAAGAAGATTTTTGAATATTAGCATTATATTGGTTTATAGTGGAAAAAAAAAATAAAAATGTCCTTATTAGATTATGTGATATAAAAATAATGACATTTGTGTAATATATTTGAAATTATAACGATATTAATTATATTAAGTAGATAGTACAATTATTAAATAAAAAAATAATATTATTATTTTGATACGAATAAAAATAAACAATTATATCTTCTTAGGAGACAGAGAGATTATTTAACATTTTTTTATTATAAAAGAACACTTGCATGATGTTAGTTGGATTTTTTAAATAAATATCTAACTCAACAAAAATTTTCGGAAAGCCTTAAATATGTAAAATTAACTTCTTTTTGTTATTGACAATTATGGCCCTCAATTAATAGCATTTTTTAAAAGTTTCCAGAAATCATTGTCTCAATTATTATTATTATTTTTTTTTTATCTAGGTCACATTCTTTCTCTGCCACTAAGCGGAGATACTCTCTTCTATTTTATATTCACAACAAATATACTCATTATAATTTTTTAATAAATTTTTATTTTTATATTATATATATTATTTTTTAATTTGTAGTATTAATTATTTATTTAATTGCTTTAAAATTTATAATTATATTTTATTTAATAAATTAAAATAAATTTACTAATATTGATTTGTTCAATAGAATTATATAATATTTGTATTTATATATTTTAAATTTCAAATTGATAAAATATATTCAATATTAGTATCATTTTGTAGAATAATGAGTTATAAAAATACTACAAAATTTAAATATAACAATAAATTCAATATAAATTACAAATACAAAACATATACTCCCTCTGTCCAAGCTAAAAGTATACAATTACCTTTGACGCGGAGATTAAAGAATAATAGTATTTTAATTACAGTGGACAGGTAAAAGTAGTAAAATGACATTTTTACCCTTTTTTTTTATAAAAGTAATGATGTGATGTAAAGTAGGGGTATTTGTGGAAAAAATGGGGTATTTAATGAAATGGTTACTTTGTAATTGGACGTCCCAAAATAGAAATATGTATACTTTCTAACTGGATGAAGGGAGTATACCATACTCCCTCCGTCCAGTTACAAGGGTTACATTTACTTTTGGCGCGATGTTTAATAAATAATAGTATTTTAATTATAGTGAGTAGTTAAAAGTAGTGTAATGATATTTTTGCCTTTAATTTTTTGTGTAAAAGTAATGATGTGATGTAAACTAAGGGTATTTGTGGAAAAAAGTAGGGTATTTAATGAAATGTAAACTTTGTAATTGGACGCCCCAAAATAAAAATATGTAAACTTTGTAATCGAACGGATGAAGTATTATATATATATATGCATATAAATTGGGACACATGGCAATGAAATCACATATTCCCAGCATCTCCGTCGAGATGTGGGAAGCACCATTCTATTTTTTTTTTTTTAAATGATGATGTGATGCATCTCCTCCGGCTGCGGCGTTGTGGGTGTCTTAATACTCCCTTCCCTCGTAATATAATAGTTTTGTTTATCATTTTTGTTCATTTTAAAATAATAGTCTTGTTTTCATAAATAATCATATCACCGTAAAACTATTTTTTCATTTTTATTATACAATTGCCACTATTTTTTACACTAATTTTAAATCCGTGCCCAACCCAATTAAGATTATATTTATGGGACGGGGGTATATCATTTTTTTTCTTCCTTTCTTGGTGTTAACAAAAGAAAATTCGCTATCTTTAATTTTTTTCAATATTTATGTCACTAAAATTGATAAATTTTATTTTGAATAAAATCAAAATTGATAAAAAAAAATAATAATAATTAATGAAAAAAAAAATTGATAATTTTGATATATAATATAATCAAAAATAATTTTTACTCTAACTAAACCAATTAAGTTTGTCAAAATGAATTATCCACCGGGTTGACCCGCTCATTCCATTTTTATAAAATTGGCCTAAACGGCCTTAGACTGTCAACCTTAACGGTGGCTCGTCGAAGTGATATGTAAACTTGTTTAAACGGTTCAAATCGCCGGCTACAGTTTGTCAAAATACTTTGAGATTGAACTTTTTTAACGACGGTTTCGATTACAGTTTGACAGTTTCGATTATAGTTTATAAATCAACGATTTCGATTTAAAAACCGCCAATTACGGTTTAAACATTCGGTTTATAATATATATTTATTTTTAATATGTTTATTTGAATTTTTTTTATATTTTTGAATTTTGTTTAAAAATAATTAAATTTTATTTTAATTTTATTTAAATATATTTATTACTCTATCTCTCCCACGTATATATTCATATTGTGGTTTGTGTTTTTGTTCGTTTTCCATCTCAGGTCACTTTTCTTTTTTGAAAAATAATTATACACTTTAATATCATTTTAATTTTTTAATTCAATTTTTTTTACTTTAATTAAACTAATTAGTTATATCTTAATCTAATTTATATTATAGGATAATTATTTTTATTAATATATTCTTAATCATTTAGTAATTATACTTATCATAAATTCTTGTCTCTACGGTAATCAGGATATGCATTGTGGAACCGGGAAAGTATTATTTATGATGTAAAAGTTATATATATAAATAATTAATTAGATTATTACAATATAAACATAATTAAAAATAATAAATTTAGTAAACAATTAAATTAAAAATAAATAAAATAAATTATAAATATATTAATGTAGTAAAAAATAAAATAATTTAAATTGAATATAATTATATAATAAAATATTATAAAATTTAAAATACAAATAAAAAACAATATTATAATATTATTATTTTTCAGTACCATTACAATTATTTATATTTATTAATATTAATATTAGTTTTATTTTTATAAAAATTTAATAATATATAAAATTTAAATTATAAATATATAATAATTATTATTATTCTTATTATTATTATTATTATAAAATTATCAATTTTAATTTTTACCGTAATCAATATTTACACATCCACAAGGCACAGCCGCCGCAACCACAGGTTCCCTTCTTTCCTCCTTTTTCTTTTCTTTTCACTCTGCTGCGCCTGCGAACCGGCGGTTCACGATTCGGTTCGGTTAGTGCGACGGTTCCATCGAACCGGCGGTTCGAAACCGAATGGGCAAGTCTAGACTGATCGGCCCGTCCGCTAAACCCTAATTTTAATACTCCTATAATTTTATTAAATTATGTTTTAATATTTTAATATTTAATTTTAATATATAATTCGTATCCTATCGTCGTCTATTCTTTTTCTTCGGTTTCGTCGTAATTTTCTTTTCCGGCCTCCGTCGGCGTCGGCATCTTCGTCGTCGTTCTAACGTGTTCTTCCCTTGCGGATTCGTAGGAAGCTTTGTAAGTTCAATCCTCACGCTAATTTTGAATTATTTGTTGCGATCGATTTCATTGCCGGTTGCTATGGATAGTTAGGGTTTGAATGGTTTGATTTTACTTATAATTGATTGTGTTAATTTTATATTTATTCGAGAAACAAAACTTATTCCATCTGACGGCTTCATTTCTGTTGGTTCTGCCTAAATCCTAAACCCGAAACTTGAAGAAACTGGTGGATTTAATTTACTGAATCATATACCTACTTTTGGCTCGATATGCACGCGAAATTGCTGATTTTCTTCGGATTACAACAATCCGAAACCCAATGGCGTCCTAATTTGTTGTAATTTGCATCCAATTCTGGAAGCTTTGGTATTGTGCTATCGAAGTTAGTATAGGGTGATTTGTTTTTGTTTGGCTATATCCTATATGAGTTTAGATATGTATATATATGTGTGTGTGTGTGTGTGTGTGTGTTTTTTGAAACTTGTGGTTGCACTCATTCATTGATTAGTATAGTGTGTAAGGGATTTGATTTATCTTTCAGGAGATTGCTTTTGTTGTTTAATTGAAATATTTCATGGTGATATAATCTCTCTCTCTCTTTCTCTTGTTGACAGTTTTGCCATTTTTTTGATGAATTTCAATTCTTTCTTTTGGTTAAATGAATTTTTCTTTCAAAATTGCTGCAGAATCTCATAAGACCCTAATAATTGCTTTAATCTGCTTGATGTTATCATCAATTTACAATTATTTAGTTATATTATCTTTTTTTTTTCAATTTTGTTTAGGCAGTTCTTGTGCCCCGACCATTTGAGATGAAGAAACGCGAGCCAGCAGTCGCAACTTCGAGTAAAATTACATTCGACGCTAGTGATGACAACGAATCATCCTCTGAAGATGTATATATTCGTTATCTTGCTTCAATTTTTTTTTTTTTCGATTTGCCCCAAATTAATTTTAAAGGTTAGGGTTCGTGGCATATGTGAGATATCATGAGAGTTTTTATCTGTATAGGAGCATGAAATTGAGCAAGAGCTTGCTGAGGTGACATTCGAAGATTTGCAGAGAGCAAAATCTGATGGTTCAGATATGATTTACAGAAAGCCTAAAGTGGAGAAGAAGAGTCGAGCAAACAAGAATAGGTTTCCCATTCTTATGGTTACACTTGACCATCATATTTTCAAATTTTTCTTTGATTCTGTATATGTGTAATCTGTTTGTTTAGGCCAATGGAGATCAGTAGCAAGAAGCCTGTCAGCAAATTCAGGGAAGTTATTCAAGCTCCCAAAAGGGTAAATTCAGTTGTCCCGTTTCTTATTTTTGAAGTTTCTTGCAATCTCGGCGTCATTTGTCTTTTTGTTTTTTTGATCTTATAGCTCATGTGATGCCTTAGATGCTAAAAATTCTCCGTTAAGATAGAGGTTATGGAAAATTTTGAAAAAATGGTAAAAGGTTCAGTATGATGTGATATTTTATGAGAGAGTATTTCATGTGATATTTTTTCGAAAAAGATACTGATGATGCATAGTGCTAAAAAATAGCTTTGTTTAAGTAGACACTTTTATGAAATTTTGATACTATTCATCAACTGTAACGAATGAAGGCCCTGTAGTTGAAAATTTCTGTCATAACTCACTTGATCTAATGCTGTAATCGAAGTTTTTCAACACCTGCAAAATGCAATGAATCTTGATATGATCGTGTTTCTGTAGTTCACTATTTGTTGCTTTCTTGTTATTGTATATTTTTCTAGTAGAGAACCAATCTAATCTTGTAGATGCTCTCCAGTTCACGTCTGACAAAATTTTCTTTGCATAATGTCAGGTGGTAAGAGATCCTCGTTTCGAATCGCTTTGTGGCAATCTGGACGTAGATGGGTAATTTCTTTTGCTGTACTCATAGTGTCAATTATGATGCAATGTTTGACACTGCCGGCTTCCTTTACTTAATATTTACTGCAATACTATGAAACTGTAGGTTCAAGAAGAGATATAATTTTATTTACGAGAGTACTCTTCCTGCTGAAAAAGCTGTACGTTTGATATTCAAATGTTTTATTAATATTGCTACACCTTATAAATATTCCGCCCAGTTGAATTGGTTTACCCTTTGAGATTTTCAGGAACTAAAGAAACAGATGAAGAAAACAAAAGATCCCGAAGCCATCCATGAGCTAAAGGATCGGATAACTCGGATTGTAAGTTCCTATTAAAGGTTTATGCTTTTAGAGTTCACTTAAGGGTGTGGAGGTTTGGATTTTGAGTTGAGATTTGAATAGTAAAATTTTTGAATTGGAATAGTTGTATGATGTGATGTAAATAGATGTTGATGTGATATTTTGAATGTAAAATTGATTTTTAGAATAATATAGAAAATGAAAAATAGATGTTTGATGTGATATTTTTTGGGGGAAAATTTTGGATGAATAGTGGATTTTTGGCAAAATCCCTCAAACAAACACACCCTTAATATATACACTTACCATTAGAAGTCAATAAAAATATACAAAACACGATAATCTTTAGGATTCTTCACACTTCACAATAAAAACACTTAAAATTATAAATATTAAACAAACACACTCTGTTGTGTGTGTTAACTGCTGCATCTGGTCTTTATATTAAAAACTCTTTAAACTTTTCATGCATATTAGGACAGAGAATTGAAATCTGCGTCGACAAAGAGGACTGAGAAGGATATTTTGGCTGAGCATAAGAAGAAAGAGAGGGAAGCTGCGAAGAAAGGGAAGAAGCCCTATTACTTGAAAAAATGTAACTCTCTCGTCTCTTTGCATAAGCTTTTCTCTCCAGATCGATTTTCTTTCTCCGTGATGAAATATCTATCATGCTATTTTAGTGGTTGGTAAAAAATGTTCTCCCCTCGATCAAAGTTGTTTATACCACCTCCCGGCACTTGTCTAGTACTGCAATTCATATATTGTGTTACTTTGGCTTCACCTAAATGCACTTGGTAGTCTGAACTTTGATATAATTATCGTTGGAGCTTCGATATTGCGCGCTGCTCTGTGGCTTCAAATTGTCTTTGCAGCGTTATGAATATGGCGGCTATTCTCGACAATTGTTTTCGTTATTAATTTTGTGATGGAAAGACAATAGTGAAAGTAGGTTCCGTTTAGATAGAAGTTTAGTAATTTTTGAAAATCGCAAAAAGTTGGGTATTTGATGTGATGTTTTGTGAGGAAAAAAAGGTATTCGATGTGATGTTTATTGTTTTTGAAAAAGTTACCGTTGATAAATAGTGTAAATTTTTTTAAAAGTATCTATGTAAACTAAGCCCGAAATACCTTTCAACTAGGTTGCAATTTTCGTCATGAAGATTTCATTTTCTTATTAAACTTTTTACTCTGATTCAATCTCGATTTGTATGGTAAATGATTCTTGGTTTTTTCCTCTTGCAGCCGAGATCAAGAGGCAAAAGCTGATCGAGAAATACAAAGAGCTCAAGGTATGTGACCTACCTCCTAACCATCGTATTCTTCTGTTATGATCTCATCGATAAAACTTGCTAAACGAATACGGCCCTTTTTCTCGCCAGGATTCTGGAAAAGTTGAGGCTTACATCGACAAGAAGAGGAGGAAAAACGCGAGCAAGGACCATAGATACATGCCGTATCGTCGACCTACAGAGCAACAAAATGAATAGAGGTCTGATCTCATTTACTTTACTGCACTTAGTTATTTTTAGGTTGTCTAAATTTTGAAATGAGGTGAAATATTTATTTCCAATTATTTTGGGTTGGATTTCATATAGTTGGATCTTCTTTGTTATATGAAATTATATGTATTAGTTACTTGTAGTATGCTTTGGAGTTTTATGGTTGTGATCTTTTAGGGTCTTAGGATTAGCGTGGTTAGTTATTAGTAATTTTGAAAGTGTTTTTGGAGATTTTTTTATTTTTATTTTTTATTTTTTTTTACTTTTTTAGAACATTGAATCTAATATCTTACAAACTAGTTTACACTTTATTTAGAACATAAAAAAGAAAAAATATATTGGGTTTTTTTCTTTTTTGTTTTTACTCCCTCCGTCCCATGACAAAGTATCTATTTTTCTATTTTAGTCCTTCCCATAACAAAGTATCCATTTTTTATTATTTTTTTATTTTTTTTTTAAGTAATTGTACTATCTACTTAACATTACAAATACCCTCAAAACTTACAATGCCATTACCTTTATATCATGTATACTAACAAAGTTATTTTAGTCATTTTTATTTTATTCTTACTATATCTCAATATAATACTAATATTTCTAAAAATTACTTGCAAAAAGCAAATGAATATTTCTTTTTGGGACGGTGGGGTATAAAATATTGTAATATTTACTTTTATTTGTTTACAGAAAATTGATAAATCAAAATAAATATTTTTATAATATATATATTATCGATTCATAAAAAATCACAAAGTAAATATTTGTTCGTGGGTTTTAGTTTTTGAGTTTAGATTTTTGAATAATAAAAAGTTGAATTTGAATATTTGTTTGATGTGATATAAATAAAATTTGATGTGATGTTTTGAATGTAAAATAAATTTACTCTCTCTGTCCTAATACAATAGTCTTAGTTTACTATTTTTGTCCGTCCTAAAACAATAGTCTTATTTCTATAAATAATCATATCACTATATAACTACCTTTACTTTTTAATTATTATTACATAATTGTCATTACCTTTACATTAATACACTCACAAAGGCAAAAATGTCTTTTACCTATACTTTTTACCCACTATCAATATAATATCAATATTCTTTAAATCTCGTGCCCAATATAATTAAGACTATAGTTCCGGGATGGAGGGAGTAGTATAATATAGAAAAATAAAAGTAATTGTTTGAATTGATATTTTTAGGGGGAAAAAATCTGTGTTAAAATTCACAAAATAACACAAACGATTTGAATTTTTTTTTAAAGAAAAAAAAATGAACAAGTAGAATCTTGAGGGAAATTCCATAAACACAATTTTGATTTGTGTTTAGTTTTGTATTTTGATCTAATCATTATGATTTGTTTGATTAAGGTTCCAAACTACTCTACAAAATATTTAAAAATATCTATATCAAACAAACAAAGGCTAAGTTAAAAACATAAATAAGTTTTGACATTTTGTAAAATTTTGAAAAGCCCCAATTACTATATCAGACTAATTATACTCAATCCTAAAAGAACAAATTGCCAACTATATTAGCAAAGATCAAAACTCACTCTAGATAACTAACTATCTTAGACAGTAATGATCAAGATATTGGATAATTAATTATATTTAAAATGTCAAATATTACCATTTAGTGAAGTAACATCCAAAAGATCCTTTTTGGTAGTATTAATTAATCAACCAAAAACACAACGCTAACACTCAATACATAACATCTCTGTCCCTCAAAACACTCTGCTACTCTAAACTCTTAACTATCACTCAAACTTCCGACCACCTCCAACGGCGGCGCCACCGACATCCGACCACCTAAAACTACGCTAAAACAACAACACAAGAATCCCGAATAGATTCGACACGAAACTCGTCCTCTACTTCCTCTAACCGCAAAAGAGATCGGTTCCCATAAAAAAAAATCGAGGCAACCTTTCCCGACATTCCGGCTGGCGCCGTCCTAAAAAACTCTTTAGCGCCGCAACCGCTCTCTATACTCGATTGGATAAATCACGACCGAATCTACACAAAGACCGCCCTTCGGGTGCGTGCAATCAATTTGGGTCATCGAAAACTTGACCTTCATCGATTTGCAAGAACTCGGGACGACAAAATCGCCGGCATGGTAATGGGCCCACCTCCCCGGCTCCTTCAAGTAGCATTGCTTCGTCGCTTGCTGGCCGTCGGATGTCGAGAGCTGAAATCTCACGGGTTTCCGGTCCCATCCGTTGACGTGCTCCGTGTTGCAAATGCGCCGCCCGAATCTCCGGTCCGAGCGGCCCAAATGTAGCCGGAATAGGAGGCTGTAGGATCCCGCGGGAAACGGGAACTCGATTTCGCCGTCCACTTCGAACCACCATATTTGTTGGAGATACGCGATCGAGTGAAACCTACACGAGAAAAGATCGGATATTGTAACTATGGGCGCCGATGTCCCGAAAGGGCGTATGCGTAAGTCGTGAGTTCAATGTAATGGAAGATGAATTCGAGAAACCAAAATACATGGTTACGAGTTCAATCGCTACAAAGAATTTATTTCAACGGATAAAGTATAAACCGAAAAGCATTAACTGATAGCACGTAACAATAGTCTACACAACAAATAGTATAATTGATCTCGAACACATGATATATTAAGAAAAACATATACTCCCTCCTACCCAATTCAAAGTACTATTTTTGTCATTTTCGTCTCTCCCACTAAAAAAATATTAGTTTTATATTTTAGTAAAAATAATCATATACTAATACCAAAATATCCTATTTTTTTAATATTTATTTAAAAGGCATGGATTAACTGTTGATTCGGCCAAGTCAGCATCATGCTGATTTGACCAAATCAAACATATGCTATAAGGATGATCAACATATATTTATATGTATCTCAACATATTTATAATACTAGTATATACTATTTATAACACATCATATGCTGAGATATGTATAAATATATGTTGATCACCCCTATAACATATGCTAATTTGACCAGATCAGTACTAAGGTGACTTGGCCAGATCAGCACATGAACTACAATCTTATTTAAATTACAAATATACAATTACACAAAATAGATTACACATGCTAACAATCTCTTCATCATGTGTTGTCTATTCATATTGAACGACGAAACTCCTAAACCAAGCCATTGCATTAATTTATTAACCAAGTTTCACTATCGATTCACAAAGTGTATATGTTGAACAAACGTCAAAAATTCTACTAAACAACCCATAAATTATACCGAATATCATTGCTCGTCACATCCAAGTTGCATAGCCAATTCGCAAATCATAATGTAACTCAAATCGAATAAAGAGACAACGGATTTTCCAGATCAATCCCCGACCAACAAAATAGACTGTTATGTCCTTTTCGAGCCTCTCTAAATTGCCCTCATATGCAATTCTCATGCTTTTTCATAAAAATACACTATTTTCTCCCACAAATCATCATATCCGATTTGAATCAAAATTCAAACTCATTTCTCACCTCGATTCATCAGTCGGAATCCGGCTCCAATATCGCCGATCATCGATCCCGGTGATCGCCAATCCATTCGATGAAATGAGCATACAAATCTTCCCTGTGGTCTTATCCATCCAAACTTTCTGCAAATCAAAACCCAAATCAATAATCACATCAAATGTATTTCTTTCTACAAAGTTTTCTTTTTTTTTATATATATATATTTATACATTTTTATTTTAATATAACAAAATATGACATCAAATATTCGATTCTTCATCAAGCAGCTAAAAGCCCTCTTTCTTAACAGCATATAGTACCAAAATCACGAAACCCTAATTTCACAAAACCCTAATTTCACAAAACCCTAATTCTTCGAAGACATCACTTCTACCAACAATTATTCCACAATTCGACCTAAAACCGTCGCCAATCGACGAACAGAAACCACAATATATATATATATATATATACGAAGAAGGCGATAGAGATCGATCGAACCTTAGCGCCGCCGTCGATCGAATTCGGCGTACAAAGCGCCGCGTAAACATCTCTCTTACACAAACTCTTCGCCGGAACATCGCCGTTCCCAAAAACCCTATCGACGACGTCGCCGTAATTCGGCGGCAGCTTCGATCCCCAGACGAAATCCGCCGTCGACGCTCCTCGGAAAGCGCGATTCAGCTTCGCCAGCCGGCAGATCTGCGGCGGATCTAAGTGCACAAGCACCGACGCCACGCAGCCCTCCGGCAAGTCGCCCAACCCAGTCTCCGGCGACCGGCTCTGCGCGGAATTTGAAAATAACGAAAACGACGACCCCATTTTTTCACGAATTCGATCGGCAAATTGATATACACTTCGGCAAAAGGATTTATTTTGAGGTGATTGAAGAATCTGATTTTTACATAGAGAAGAATTTGGGAATTTTTCGCCAGTTGCAGAGGATATATAGGGAAGACGACGGTACGCGTACAGTGTGTACGCATCTGGACTTCGAGTCTACAGAAAATTTGGGAAGTGCTGGGATCTCGACTCTTGATTAATCTTATCCGTCCCCTTTTTACAGTTTAGTAATATGGTCGATTTAGATTTTCTCGGGATCTCAGCTCCTGGGATCTGGTAAGAAATAGACGTACGGGGTTTTTTTAATACTGTAGATTTCATGACTAATTTGGATATAATTTTTTTGAAATGACGATTTTGCCCTTATTTTTTGGCCCCTTCTGTACATCGCCTGTTCTGATTTTTTTTTTTTTTTTCCTTTTTTATTTTAGTGTCTTATCCAATAAAATTTTTTTAGACGTTGTTTAATTAATGGAGTAAATATTATTACTCATTGATCATTAATAATTTTTTTTATTTACTTTGAATATGTTAATTTATGTATGTTAGTATTTTATTAAAATATATTATAAATAATTTGACATATAGGATTTAAAATATATATTCTAAAATTTTCAAATTATATATATTAATTTTTATTTTAAAAATACTAATATCACTATTCATATAAAAACGAATTAGACAAATTAATTTGCCATTGATTTGCAATTGATTATATTTGGTTATTCTATTTTTCTATAAATATGTGCATCACAGGATGAACATACTGAATCATTAATAAAAGAATCTATATAAGTTAAACTTTTTTATCATATCTCCGTAAGTACAATTTTTATTTTTTTTTTATACCGTTGGAAGCATTATCTTTGTATTCTAATGACTTTATAAAGTCAAGACTCAAATACGACTATTTTCAATTAGACAACGATTTGATGTCTTACAACCAATCAATAGTATTATTCTTACGACAATTCAATGTCAAAATTCAAATATGACTATTCACTCCAAAGCTATAATGATTCATTTGCTCGTACAACAAAGCAACCGTATTATTCTTACGGTAATTCGATGCCAACATCTAATTATAGCAATTAAAAACCAAAATATGGTAATTCCATCGGTCATGCGGTCAAAAATATCACCGTACTTTCAACTTTGCAGATTATAACAATTTCGATTGCTCCTGCAACTGACTATTGCTACTATTACTCGTTGCAGGAGCTAAAAAACCATGATTCAACCATTCAGATTAATTGTTTATATAATTCTTATATATTTGGTGTTAATAAATGACAACCACAATGAGAGGTGCATCAAACATCCACGGTTGATTTTTCTGAGATGGCCATGTTCCGAACAAAATAACCTAGTTAATGCAAGAATTTAGAGACGCATTTGGCCAAATGAAAAATGCATTGGAAGCTTAATACAGGACCTTACTACAATCTCAACCTCATGATATGTTATCTTTTTTTCAAGAAGATGATTATTCGTCACTCACACCTGAGTGTGATGAAATGAGTTAACAGTCATTGGGGATCAAGGGAGTTCTCACATTGGGATATATTCGACACTCACTTCTCGAGATAATAATTTTAAAAATTCATATAGGATCAATACTTAATACGAGCATCGTGACTCTGATACCATATTAGATTATGTAAATGATCGTATTACCTTAACTTAGGGTGAAGAAACTCTCCACTTAATACCAATTGGTTTTAAGTTGGAAGTCTGAATTCCTTATTAGCATGGTATTAGAGCCTTCAATCTTGAATTCGAGTTTCACCGCCCTTCATTTGTCGTCATCCACGTGCAAGTTTTGTTTGGTGACATTTATCCCCTTGCACGTGAGGGGGCTTGTTGATTGCTTCCCGTTTGTAAATAAATAAATAAATTATGCGTATCCTAGTAGTTGAAACTTTTAGGTGAGATGATTATGTACATCATCTAACAGAGTTCATCTCTAAATTATAGGGTCTCGATTTGGTTGTGGTTTGAAATTAATAACTATTTGAGTTTTTATTTAAATACTTCATTTGTCTCACTTTTTTCGTTCACTATTTCTATTTTTGTCCGTTCCATTTTTTTTGTTCAATTCTTTTTAGAAAATATAATTATACATTTTAATCACATTTTAAATTTTCTAATTTATAATTTTTTTAATTTTTAATTATACTACTTAGTTATCTTAATCTATAATTAGCTTTATTATGCGATAATTTTTTTTACTAAATACACTTTTTAGTTGCTTACTAACCTAAATTCTCGTATCAAAAGATGAGATGGAGACAGTAATATTTTTGATATGATATTTTGTGAAAAATAAGGAATATATTTTTATTGAAAATTATGTGGGATAAATAATATTAATTTAAGTTTTAAAATATTAACAAAATAATGTATCATTCGAAACATAATTAAAACAAAACCAGCCACAATACAAAACAATAACCAAACAAAACCTTAATTATTTGAATTCTTAATTGTAATTAATTACGTCATTATCAATGTGTCTATCGATTTAGATGTTACGTATAGATGATCAATAATTAAATCAAAATTTCAAATGATAGAAATTTACAAAACTAAATTACGATGAAATATAGAACTAAAAAAATATACGATTTTTGTTTAATTAATTTATGTATATTTATATATACTATAAAATAATTATTGAATATGTGTATCATTGTATGAACATACTGAATTATTAATAAAAAATCTACATAAGTTAGACTTTTTTACCATATTTTTGTAAGTATAATTTTATTTTATTTTTTAAAATACCGTTTATAAAACGATTGCACGATTAATAAAACGATTGCACGATTATAAAAATCATATTTCAGATTTTATAAAATTTCAAACATGTAGCTACCTAAATGGCTTACATACGGATCTTACCGATTGTGCAAATTATAAAGATTGGTTAGTCTCTATATCGGTCTTCTAAGATTGTACAATCGAATACTGTGCAGATTTGAAATATCGGGTAATTCAATTGGTTATTCATTTTCAAAATTATTATTATTACTGTGTTGTTGTTGCTGCTATTAGATAAACTTATTCTGTCCATATATCTGCAGTTTGTCAATTTGATGTTTGTCAATTGAGTAATACATATTGGTCACTTGATTTACGAGAGTAAATGGTCTTTCTACGTAATACCAAATTGATTTTAAGTTAGAAATTGGAATCCTAATAAATTAAACTTTTAAGTTATATAACATTTAAATCATCTAACAAAGTTCATCCTTAAATTATATAGTTGGTTTAGTTGTAGTTTGAAATTAATATAATTATTTGAGTTTTATTTAAATAATATTTTTGATATAATGTTTTATGAAAAAATAATACTCACTCCCTCTCAAAAGCAAAGTTACATTGTTCCTAATTCAATAATTGTATAATTTAACTAACATAATAAATATTATTTCATTTTAGAATATATTGCACAAATGTTATTACTTTTATATGACACAGTACTGATAGGGGTATTTTTGTCATTTTTACTACAACATCAATATAATACTATATTAAAAAATTTACTTGCAAAAAATAAACGTCACCATTTCAATGCGATAGAAATAATATATTTTTATTGAAAATTATATGGGATGATTAATATTAATTTAAATTTGAAATATTAACAAAATAATGTATCATTTGAAACATAATTAAAACAAAACCAACCATAATATGAAACAAACTTACCAAACAAAACTTTTATTATTTGAATTCTTAATTGTAATTATTTATGTCATTGGCAGTGTGTCAATTGATTTAGATGTTATGTATAGATGATCAATAATTAAATCAAAATTTTAAATGATAGAAATTTACAAAACTAAATTACGATGAAATATAAAACTAAAAAAATACACAAATTTTGTACAATTCATTTACTAATATTTATATATACTATAAAATAATTATTGAATATAGTCTTTTATATAAAATTAGATATAAAGATAATATTTTTACAATAATATTTTTTTTTTAAAAAAAAAATAATCAAAACTTACGTCTGTCTGGTTGTAATTATAATTATGTCCAATCGTATTATAATTTTTAAAAATTTTATTTAATAAATTAAATTCAACAAGTTGCAACAAAAATAAAAAATAAAAAATAAAAGATGAACAGTTCTTATCAAATTTTTAGTTCAATATTAGAATGATTTGTTGATAAGTTGGCCACTATTGAATGTTGTCACATGTGACTAAGCAATATAGCTTATTGTTGGACACAACTTTGTACCAATTATTTAAATAAATAAATTAGATGTTGATATTTTATGAATAATTAATATTAGCAAGTTGTTAAATGTCAATTCAATAATATTATGCATGTTTATGGGACAAGTTGTCAATGTACTATTACAATGATTATTGTGATATTATGATCCCAACATAAAACTATTTTAAATGATGATAATATTTTAGTTTAAAGGGTTTTTTTTTTTTTTTTTTTTTTTTATCCGAAGTGAAATATGATAATTTTTTTCGATAATATAAAATAATAATATTTTATATCGAATATTGATTTTATGTGAAAAAATAAAATATATGTTATATATATATATTGGGAATCATATCGACGGTGACGTAGCTATTAGGAGGCAAAGGTGTTTAGTTCCCCTAGTTATTTTAATTTTGTATTTTTATTATGTAATATTTGTATAATTTAAAATTTTAAATAATTGATCACACTATAAATTTATTAAGAATATTATTATTACAAATATTTAATTCAAATATTCCAAAAAAAAAAAATTTGATTCAAAAACATTGAATATTGAGAAATATTTGAAAAAAATGGAATGGATAAACCCAACTAAAAAGTGGATGTCAACCTTAAAGATAGACGGATAAAGTATTTTTAAAAAAATTTGATTCAAACACATTGAATATTGAGAAATATTTTTGTGGTTGTCACACTTATTAAAGACTAAATTGCACAAAATTTATATGTGGTTTGACGAAATTATGTCAAATTCCCGTATTTTTAAAATTGTGTCAAACTCCCTTATGGTTCATAAACTCTGCGTCTAACCCCCTCGGCGATCCTTATTTAACGGTATTTGACCTAAATGCGTCCAAACTGCGAATAAATTTTAGAATCTCAATTTTTAAATCTCTAAAATTACAAGTATATTTATTTTTTTTTATATTTAGCCTAGAAAAATAGTAAAAATAAACTCTTAAAACCTGAGATAAATAAATATTTTTGAGTATCTTTACTATTTTTTTAGACTAAATATAGGAAAAATGAATATATTTATAATTTTAGGGGTTTAAAAATTAAGATTTTAAAATTTATTCGCAGATTGGACGCATTTAGGTCAAATACCGTTAAATAAGGACGACCGAGGGGTTAGACACAGAGTTTATGAAATTACGAGAAAGTTTGACGTAATTTTAGAAGTATACGAGATTTGACTCAATTTTATGAAACTACGTGTAAATTTTGTACAATTTAGTCTTTATTAAATTAAAAAGAAATACTCTCTCCATCAATTCATAAAGTATATATTTTTTTATTTTAAGTTGTACAATACAAAATAATTATTTTAAAAATATATATATTTTACAAGTATTTATATTTTATCGTCATATTATTACTTTTATACTAAAAAAATAAAGACAAAATTATGTTACATTATTTTTTAATTATTTATTACAATTAAAATATTATTATTTTTTAAATTTTATACCAAAAATAAATGCATTTTATCTAGAGAATATATTAAAGTTCCAAGTTGAAGAAGTGGTTTGAGACTTTTGCATTGCACATGAATCCAGCTCATCCATTAAATTTTATTTTCTTCTATATATTCGATATTCGTTAATTTATCTCATGATAGTGTTATTTGAATTTTCTATTTCAAAATAAATATGAGGATTCTTGGTGTATAATAAACATATATATATATTATTTATATAAAATTTACATAATTTAAGTTCGGATTTACACTCAATCAGTTTTGGATAAAAAATGTATTTTATGCAAATTTTAATATTCGCTCCATTCAAATACAATAGTATTGTTTACCATTTTTGTCCATCCCAAAACAATGATTTTATTTTCATAAATAATTATATCACTATAAAATTACATTTACCTTTTCATTATTATTATATAATTGTCACTACTTTTTACACTAATACACTCACAAGGGCAAAAAATTCTTTTATCCTTATTTTTTATCCACTACCAATATAATATCAATATTTCTTAAATCACATGTCAAACACAACCTAAACTATGGTTATGAGACGAATGAATGAAGTATAATATAAGAGGGTTCATATTGTAATTTAAAATAGATAATAACAATTATAAATATATACATAATATATACTCCCTTAGTCCAACTCTAATATTCCCCTGTCTCAAAACTAAAGTTTGGGTTGAGTTTGACACAAGATTTAACGAATATTGATATTATATTGATAGTAGGTAAAAAAATGTTGGTAAAAGACTTTTTTGCCCTTGTGAGTGTATTAGTGTAAAAAGTAGTGACAATTGTATAATAATAATAAAAAAGTAAATGTAGTTTTATAGTTATATGATAATTTATGAAAATAAAACTATTGTTTTGAAACGAACAAAAATGGTAACAAAACTATTATATTGAGACGAATAGAGTATATATATATTTACATTTAGCATGCGGATTAAAAAATATTTGTATTTTAATAGTAGCTAGTAAATATAATAATGTAAAGATTAAATTGTCAAAAAATATATTAAAAATTAGTGGTAAAATTCATAATTACCAAAAATAAAATATAAACTTTTGAATTGAAAAAACGAAAGTAAAAATATGTAAATGTAAAAACTATATGGAGAGTATATATTATTGAGATTTATTTAAGCAAATTGATTTTTTAGTCTAATTTGGATAACTAAAGTATTACTGATCCTTCAATCCCGATTTGTTCACTAATTTTACTTTAGTAATATGACATTTTAGATAATATAATTTTAATACTCCCTCCGTCCCATATTTATATATCCATTTACTTTTTACACGAAATTTTAGAAATATTAGGATAAAATAAAAATAAAAGTTGGTATTGTATGATATAGACGGAACAAAATAAAAAAATAGATAAATTATTAAGGGAATGAAAGAGTACTGTTTATGTCTTAAATGAAGTGTTTTATTGAATTTTTATGTATAAATCTTTAAATATTAATTATTATATTAATATATATTATAAATAAAAAAAACTAATAAAATCTCTATTAATTTTTTATAATACAAATTTAATAATATCTTTTAAAATAAATTATACAAGTATAAAAATATTTCAATATTAAACACAATAATACAAAAAATAAGTAGTACACTGGGTGTATTCTTCGACTAATTTCAAAAAATATTTTTCATTATAAAAATTAATATATTACACATATTTATTAATTTTATTTTATTTACAAAATTTTCAATATTTCACATAAATATATATCTATATATATCTTATAAGAGTGTGTTTGTTTGAGAGATTTTGTGGGATTTTCAATATTTCCACAAAAATTTTTCCCCAAAAATCAAACGCTTATTTTTCATTTTTTTTATACTCTCTCCGTACCATTGAAATAGTGACATTTGTTTTTTGCACGTAGATTTTTTAATATTAGTATTATATTTGATTGTAATAAAAAAGACAAAAATACCCTTATTAGCATAGTATAATATAAAAATAATGAAATTTGTGTAATATATTTTAAATTGAAAGAATGTTTATTATGTTAAATATGTAGTACAATTACTAAATTAAGAAATGATAACCGTGTTTTGAAACGAACGAAAATAGAAAATGGTAACTTTGTTTTGAAATAGAGGAAGTATTATACTTAAAAAAATCAATTTTATATTCAAAACATCACATCAGTTCTTATTTATATCATATCGTATAACTATTCAAATTCAAAATTTTTACTATTCAAATTTTAGCTCAAAATCCAATCCCTCAAACACACACTACCTAAAAATACTTTCACTAAACAAAACACACTTTTTTTTTATTTTTGGGCAAAATTGCCCATAACTCCATTGTGGTTTCAAAACTCACGTAAATTCTCCCTCTACTTTAAAAATTGTATGGTACCCCTTTATACTTTAAAAAACGTTGCATGAAACCCCACCACCATGAAACTTTCCTAATGTGATAAGAAGATGATTTCATATCTATATGTTTTGCATGGCAGGGGGTTTTATGCAATATATTTGAAAGTATAAGTGAGCCTCATGCAATTTTTTAAAGTAAAATGAGGATTTATGCTAAGTTTCGAAATCACAAAGTAGTTTCATGTAATATCTTTTAAAGTATAGGAGCAATTTTTTTTTTTTTTTTTTTTTTTTTTTTTGGAAAGACAATTTTGAGTCGAAAGTGTACCATTCAGATTTGTAATTTTCACCAGTAAACGACGGCGTTTGGTAAAGGTTTTGACAGCTGGCACAGTACACGCGACATTACAAGAATCTTACGTGTCAGATATTTTTATTTCTTTATTTTACTAAAACGGAAAAGGAACTTATTCGAGAAACGCATCTCGGTGCATCCAATATCTATTTAATTTAATAGAGCTTTCTAGAAACAATAAGTAGAAGAGGCCGGGAGTTCCAACACCAGACAGCCAATTTAATAGGCGTGTGGCGTTGTGGTCCCAGGAGCTTCAGAAAAATCATAAACAATTATCGTGTGCAAGGCTGTCTGTATTTGTCGTTATCTTACCGCCTTATCACTGCAATTATATGATAAGCTGTACGAACCGAACAAATCCAACGGTCCACATTCGTCCCTATCACGTCCCTATTATCTAACTCGATTATATCTAATTTGTATTATTCGTTAAATTGAAGTATCATTTATTAATAATAAATAATTTTATTTATTTATATATATTTTTTATTTTTACTTTAAATAATAATAATAATAATTACTTTTTTACTATTTTTATTTATGTCGGATACTGAATGACCGTCTCACTTAAAAACTCGAACGGTTAGGTAAACACAGTCATTAATCACTTACACACTTATCAGCAAACATAAATATATTTCTAAATAACACATTAGAGAGAGTATTATTTACATAAGCCATATTTAATACACATATATTTTCTTATACTATAAATTAACCATATCCAAAAAAAAATATATTTTTAAATTTATTAATTCCACCTATAAGTCCAAAAACTTTTAAATCCTAAACCCCAAATCAAATTGATTTGAACTTGCTATTTTCGTAGATTTTGATTCATTCAAAAAAATCATGACATTACAAACCAAAATTTGGGACAAACCATCTATTTTTGTAACATATTGCTTACAACCTTATTAGAAACATTCATCTACTATTTCACCTAAAAAAAAAAAAAAAAGAAAAAAAAAATTATATTTTTCTAACCCGAAATCCGAGCCGGAGCCGGAGCCGGAGCTACACCTTCGACCCGCCTCGATTGCCTGAAAATTTGGCAAAAAAGAACAAAAACAAACCATCATCTAATTCTTTATTCAGATAATATGGAGACTCGCAGTCGCTATTTTTCTGCGCAAACTTAGATTAATTCTTCGTATCATAAACTTGTGATCCTAAAGAATTTTTGGAAGGAAGGCGCGCTCAAGTTATCATTATGCCTATGGTTATAACATCACGCCTAAAAACAATGCATATAATACTTATAAGCTCACTCCCGGTCGCTATTTTTCTGCACAAACTTAGATTAATTATTCGTATCATAAACTTGTGATCATAAAGAATTTTTTGAAGGAAGGCGCGCCCGAGTTATCATTATGCCTATGGTTATAATATCACGCCTAAAAACATTGCATACGATACTTATAAGCGCGCTCGCCTCTATTATCGAATGTTTTTCAAATGGTAAAAATTATAGCATACCTTGTTGGACTTGAGAATCCATTATCTTTGCCAATAGTCACTCAGCCTTCCAACAATGGCGACGGCATTTTCATCATCAGGTGTCGCCTTCTGAGGATCGAAATCTTCTTTTCCGAGCCTCTCGCTTTCCTGAAGCTAATATAAAACATGTAATCTTCGGAGAAAAAGCGTTTTATGCAATGATAAAGTTCATATGGAATCAATCGAAAAGCACGTGTCAAAAGTGAATAACAATCGAACTAAGCAATAGATCAAAATATCGAAACTACTTACCTCTCCTTGGCGCAGGTTTAGGTACAAATCAGAAGCTTTAAAAGTTTCGATGGCCTTCAGTTTCTTTAGTCTGCTGAGCTGTAGTGAAGCAGGAGAATCATCATCCTGTAAACAAAAATGGGAAAAAGAAATGTCGAATGAATGAAGAAGACTGAGCTAAAAGGGAGTGCAGAAAAATTTGATAAATCTGATCTAACATTAACATTTTCGACACTGCAGGGAGTTTCGCTGGAGCCGGAATATAGTTGTCTCTTCATACATCTTACTAGGAATGTCTTATCCTGATCTTCGCCAGTTTCAGATTTGAGCGACGAACTTCCAACCTCAGGTGGAAATCGTCTGCAAGAACACCAAATGTTAGTTTAAACTCAATCGAGCAAATTCGTGCAGATACATTTTAGATTATGATGTATTGAGGCAGTTTACCTGCCGAATCTACAGCATTGCATTGTCGATTCTTTCATGGCAGATGACTTTCTTGCGGCGTATTCATCCTCATCTGCAGACTACATTTACTTCATTGTAATTGAAGAAGTTGCTGTGATCAGAATGTTTCGAATAGAGTAAGAGATAACCTGTGGAGATGGTAATGCTAGCAAGCAATTTTCAACGTATATTTCATCTATCTCCTTGCCATATTCAGTTGCATCAACAATAGTAGGTGAGATTGGTGTCGAAACTTTAGAGCTATCTGCAGCATCATGCTCATCGACATGTGTAATCGAATATTCGGCTATAACTTCTTTACTCTTTTGGGGCCTACACCACCAAATGCACATTCGGTAATTGCAGGAAGCATTAAACTAGCAATGGCACACTTCTAATGTAATCCATTAAACATTTGACTAGCTGGAGGTATTAACCTTTCATTTGATGGTGATTTCTTCGACTCTTCTGGAACTTCAGATTTCCATTTGAGATCTCTGTGACATTCCTCTTCTGCAGTCTGGATTTTTATTCAACTTTAGCGCGACTATAAGTTATGTATGATTCGCACGTTGCACAAAAGAAGAAGAGGAAACCTGAAGTGACTGTGCAATTGCACGTGCAAGTGCAATATCTTCCAGGTTTGTCGGTTCAGCTCGAGGAGTGGAATCAGCACCAAACTGTATCGAATGAAGACGACAATAAAGATGAGAGCAAATTTTAGAAGGTCAACAGAGCTAGATTCATGGTCTTAGTGTATTGCATACCAAAAATTCCTCTAATTCTTCAATGAACATTGGTGAATCTTTCTTGGAAGCTTCAATGGCTGCTTTCACCATTTCTTCTTCTATATCCTCGCGGCCAGCAGGAACATCAACAGCCATAGGAGGAGTTTCTAATGAGGATGAAGGTGAGCATTTGGATTCATCGGGTAGTTCATCGTCAATGTATGTAATATCAATAGGCATTTCATCATCATCATCAGTGATATCTAATTGAGAAGCAGAACGAGATGGTCGACGAATTCTGGAAGAGAAAGTATGTCATGTGATGTTAAAAAATGTCAATAATAATCATAAATATATATATGGAACTACTGCCTAGAACATTTTGGTTGCATTGAACAACACTAACAAGTTTCCATCTGCTTCGGCGAGGTAAGCGATTATAGCATCATTGAGGTTCCCGGAGTTCTCCTGCTCGACAAAATAAAGAACTATGAATTCAAAATCAAACAAGGACCGGAGAAAATGCAACAAAAGATGAAAACTTAGAACATAATACAAAAATGATTCCGGATAGTAAATCTTTCTTTAGAACTCTTGAACAGGGCTGTAATACAAAGGTTTCTATTCTTCTACTTGGCTGATTAATGAAAAATGAAAATGTACACAACGAGGTTTCTTCAAATCGTGTAATGACATTTGAAAACATCAAGAATGTTTGCTAGCAAAGAAGAGGAAAAGAGGCTCATCCACAACTTCCGAAATGAAAATTTCATATACATCACACTCAATGAATTTCCTAAATTAGTTGGCACAATGCAAACAAATACACAAAACAAGAACCAAGATATCGAAGACGTGAAATTAATGGTGTTGTAATACATCAAGACTCTTTGCTAAAAAGCGGAAATGAGGTGTATCCTGCTTAAGCACAAATTCCAAATGAAAACTCTATATACATCACACTCGATGAATTACTGAAATTAATCGACACAATGAAAACAAATACACAAAAAAAGAACCAAGATATCGAAGACATGCAATTAATGGCATTTGAATAAATCAAGATTCTTTGCTAGCCAAGAAGAGAAAAAGAGGCTTATCCACAAATTTCGAAATGAAAATTTCATATACATCACACTCAATGAATTGCCTAAATTAATCGACGCAATGCAAAAAAATGCACAACAAGAATCATGATATGAAGGGCGCGAAATTCCACGAGTTTGTTTAGTCACCGTTAACATTTTCCTTAATCTGCAAAAAAGTATTCTGTACACATATGTTTATGTTCAAACAAGAATCCAAAGATCACCAATAGTCCTCTAAATCAAAACTCATGGATTCTTTGCGCAAGTTCTATCAAGACCTAAATTAAGATTACATTATAATTATACCTCAGATTCATAATGAAAAGCAGAGAGAAAAGTCGTAAATCAAAGCAGAAATTATCCAAAACCCTCACAAACTTCAAGGTCTTTCATAATTCAAATCCACAAATGCCACGATCCAAGTTTCTTTAGAACATCGAGTAACAGCAACTAATAAAATCGAATTCAGAAACACCAAAACCCCAACGCGACTACCACCAAAAAGCGAGTACAATTGCCGAAGCTCGAATCGAACACCATCTAAAGGAACATCGAATAAAAACCGAAATTGAATCGAAAATACGCATTTACGATCAAGAAACACGAAAATATGAAGATAAACATTCAAATCAAGCAAATTCAATCAAGACAATCGAAAGCAGTGCGGTTGCTGATCGATAAAAGCGAAATGGAAAACAATGCCTCAAGCTTTTCAATAGCAATGGCTTCGGAAACTCCCGTTACAGCCTTGAAAGTCTCGACATCCTCTGGATCGATTACAATCATCTTGGAGAAAACCAACAAAGTGGTTCGCGTGCCGATTTTGTTATGCGAAATGTGACAACAAAATCGAATCCAAGTGAGTATTCAAAAGTAGGCAAATCACCTCTGTTCTTGGCGCCGCGATAGGGGTAGTTTCGTAAAAGAACATTAAACTGCAGGGGTAATTTGGGAATCCAAATTCTAACGGATTTTGTTGGGTAATTCCGTCCAAATGAAGTAAAGTAAGGATGTGTTTGATGTGTTTGTTGGAGGATTGAATTTTAAATTAACTATTTATCCCATTTTTTTTAAAAAAATATTAAATTAAATATTTATTTTTTATTTTTGTATATCAACACCTGTTCATACAATTGTTCAAATTTAATTTTTTTACTATTCAAATTTCAATTCAAAATCTAAACACCAGACAAATGCACCCTAAAAGTAAATTACTATATAATACTCCGTCCCACTTATTATGTCCATGTTGCCGTAAAAATACGTTAAATTCGTTGTGTTAATGTAAGGTTGACACGAAACAGAACAAAATTGATGTTTGATTTCAAATAAAAATCTAAAGTAAAATATATTAGATAATACTTTTTTTTAATAAAATAAATAAATAAATAATTGATCAATAATTTAGTTTTTATTAAAATGAGATAAAAAAATCTCTCCAAAAATTACAAAATAAAGGATTAATAGATTATTAATTTATTTTATTAAAAAAATTATTTAAAAAAATATTTTGTATTTTTTATTTGTATAAAACTTGCTTAGACTTTTTTTAAAACTAAATATTATTTACATTAATAAAAAATAATAAATAAAATATTGAGTATTTTGTGCATTTTTACTCTAATATTGGGTAGATCCGCCCATTCCACTTTTATAAATAAAACATTGGGTCGACCCGCCCATTCCACTTTTATAAAATTGGGCTAAACGGCCTCAGACGGGTCAACCTTAACGGGCCGCGGGTTGAAATGAACGGCCCATCCGATAAACCCTAATCTTAAATATAATTTATTATATATTATCTTTTAATATTTTTATATTTCATTTTAATATATTAATCATTTCGTATCGTCGTCTATGCTTTTTCTTGGCTTCGTCGTGATTTTCTTTTCCGGCCTCCGTCGACGTCGGCAGCTTCGTAGGAAGCTTTGTAAGTTCAATCCTGACTTTAATTTTTGAATTATTTGTTGTGATCGATTTCATTGCCGGTTGCGATGGATATTTAGGGCTTGAATTAATTGGTTTTAGTTGTAATTGATTGTGTTAATTTTAGATTTATTCCATCTGACTATAGTAAGGGTTTGATTTTTGTTGGTTCTGCCTAAATCCTATATTTATTCCATCTGACTATAGTAAGGGTTTCATTTTTGTTAGTTCTGCCTAAATCCTAAAGCAGAAAGTTGAAGAAACTGGTGGATTTAATTTACTGAATCATGTACCTTATTTTGGTTTGATATGCACGCGAAATTGCTGATTTTCTCCGGATTACAACAATCCGAAACCCAATGGCGTTCTAATTTATTGTAATTTGCGTCCAATTCTGGAAGCTCTGCTATTGTGCTATAGAAGTTAGTATAGTGTGATATGTTTTTGTTTGGATATATGAGTTTAGATATATACCTATATATATATATATGTATGTTTTGAACCTTGTGGATGCACTTGTTTATTGATTAGTATAGTGTGTAAGGGATTTAATTTATCTTTCAGGAGTTTGCTTTTGTTGTTTAGTTGAAATATTTCATGGTGATATATACTCTCTCTTTCTCATGTTGACAGTTTTGGCATTTTTCCTATGAATTTTGATTCTTTCTTTTGGTTAAATGAAAGTTTCTTTCAAAATTTGCAGAATCTCATCATCTTCCTTCCTTCAGATGTCCACTGCGCTCAGAACTAAGCTGCGATCTCTTTCCACAGCACATCTCTTTCGCAACATACGCACCTTTTCCTCTATCGATGATAGTGGAGGGCGTTCTAGTAACCCCCCGGAACCTATTCCTAACAGACCTCTGAGAAGGCAGTCTCATCCATCCCCAAGTTCTCGTCACCCAAAGTTTAACCCTATCCGCGAAAATGATAACCGAAGTTCAATTAAAGGCGAGACTGATTCTGATTTTTTGGAAAGGTTCAAGCTCAGTTTCGAGAGTAAACAGGAGCACCCCAACCCCAAATCTGAGATGGTGAATAGAACTGATCTGGATGGGAAATCAGAAACTGCCGAAACAGCATCTGCTCCAGAGGATGCCGATGAGATATTTAAGAAGATGAAGGAGACAGGGTTGATCCCTAATGCCGTGGCCATGCTTGACGGGCTGTGTAAAGATGGGCTGGTGCAGGAGGCAATGAAGCTGTTTGGAATGATGCGGGAGAAGGGTACAATCCCGGAGGTCATCGTGTACACGGCAGTAGTGGAAGGCTTTTGCAAGGCTTGCAAGTTTGACGATGCAGTAAGAATTTTTAAGAAAATGCAGAGCAATGGAGTGGTCCCTAATGTGTTCAGCTATCAGGTTTTGATTCGAGGGTTGTACAGTGGGAAAAGGTTGGATGACGCGCACAGGTTCACGCTTGAAGCATTGGAAGCTGGGCACTCCCCGAATTTGGAAACTTTCACGGGATTAGTCGATGCGTATTGCAGGGAGAAGGGCCTGGAAGAGGCAAAGAATGTCATTGGTTCGATGAGGGAGAGAGGATTTGCTTTCGAGGAGAAACCTGTCCGAGAATACTTGGATAAGAAAGGGCCTTTCTTGCCATTGGTTTGGGAGGCGATCCTGGGGAAGAAGGCCTCGAAGATGTCTATGTTCTGACGGGTTCTTCATTCTCCTTTTAACTTGGTATTTTGATAAACAATGCTGTGCCATTTTGAAACGGTGACATTCGTTTTTATACATATGTGCATTTGTTGTATTTCAGTTGGGGTAATTATGTCTTTCATGCCTAGTAATTATTGACATTTTAAAATATTTTTAAATACAATAATGGGTTATTTTAATTAAGCAGAGGATGATTCAGTTCACCATATTTTGTCTGTGGGTTATTTATATCATACTCCAACAAATTTATAGCGTGATTCAGCATATAAATGTTTAATGTATTTCTACTGTTTGTTGACTGGGTTAATTAACATGAAAATAAATCATGAGACGAACTAAGCTACTACATATTTAATATTATGTTGATTATTTATGATTTGCATGCTTTTCGTTTTGTTGGGATATAATTTTAATTGGCTAGGATATAAGGTTTTTGAAAACGTTTTGTTTAACTACAAAAGTGATTTTGTATAGATCGTATTGTATAGTTTTGGATGGCTTCTCTCAATAAGCAGAATACAGTTTGTTCTGATTCTTTATTAATTACATAGTAGAATGTTTAATGTTAGTAACTTAGTATCTATATATGGTTTGTTCATCTAGCTAAATAGGCGGAGAATCTTGTGTTAATTTAGTTTTTATTAAGTAATAAATTAGAATATACTGTGTGCAGGAACTTCGATGAAGTAAATGTGGCACATAGTTCAGGTCTACATGGAAATGGGGCAATGAGCATTCAACACTAGACATCTTCGAAATAGAAAAGATTTCTCTTATTAGAAGATCACTTCTAACCGACTTCTAGAGGTATGTGACGCGCTTTTTTTCTTTTTAACTAGATGAACAAAACAGGAGTTCAATTTCTTTCTTTCCTCTTTCGAATCTACTTGATAGCGAAAGAATCATCAAGAAAAAAGAAAAAAAAAACATTCCTTTTTGAGGACTATTAGTAAAATTTTGGATAGCTATAAAGTTTCGTACATTGGACACTATTAGTTGTAGGTCTATGACTATTTTAGCATCAGTGAATACGTGTGAGCGAATATGTATGATTTGGGTTACATGTTTATCTAATTAGTGAAATAATAATTTTGAACAATTGTCTTGAATGATGAAAAATTGCAAGAACTTACCTATTCTTGTTGTACATGTTTACAACATAGACCATCGTGGATTAGATTTAGGACTATTTCCATAGAAACTTCAGTTTAAAGATCAAAATGATAAAAGGCACTATAAAACATTTATCCCTAAGATCAATAGCGGCGCAAGGAGCACTATTTTACACTTGTAAAATTTTAAACTCCCTGGTCGTGTAATTTGTTTAATTCTTTGTCTAGGAATAGAATATGCCTGATAGGCGGATACTTTCGTGGTTTTCACTTTAATGAAATTTGAAGCAATTGTGTTCGAGGAACATGACACGCTTACAACTAGAGATTTTGAATCCAATTGGAGTTAATTTGAGTAAAATCTGCATTTGTGGTTTAAAATTTATGCCCGAATTTCTTGCTAACTTTGGATGGCGACATGCGGATGTTTGCATTGGTTGTTTTTACGTGTGAATGTCATGAAGAGTTTCGAGTCGATAGTTTCATTTGCTTTGTTTAATTTATGGACAACATCGAGGAAAAAGACAAGTTTCCCATCACCATCCATGATGCTAGAACATTACTTATGGTGTAATTATCGCTTCAAAAATGGAACATTACTTTTGTTTGCGCGTGCTATAGGTTTTTTGCCGGTTAGCTTTTTCTTGATTTGATTTTCGCCGCGCCCTATTGTGTTTGTGTAATAAAGTATATGCACTTGTTAGGCCGATTGCATCATCTTTGTTACTACTTATGTTTAAAGAGTATCGGTTTTCAATAAAAAAAATACTATTTCATCTGGGCAATTAAGATTCAATTTAAAGCTAAATTGTTAATAATCCTTAACCAATAAAGCTAAATCTTGTTTCTGAATACTACAAATTTGTGTTTTGCTCGTTTAGCTTAGCATACAAGTTTAAATAAGTTAAAACGAGTTGAATTTGCAAATAATTTACTTGCGTTTATAATATTTTTACCGTTTTTTTTTTTATTTTCGTCCGTCCAAATATAAGGTTACTATTTTTTAATTTAGTAACTGTATAACCTACATAACATAATAAATACCCTTTCAACTTACAATATATTACACAAATGTCATTATTTTGAAAAAACAAACGCCACCCTTGTTACGGGACGGAGGGAGTATTATTTTTTATTTTTCACCGGGATTCAAGAACTAAAGCCAAAAAAGCGCAATAGGACAAAAGGTTTTGATAGAAAAATGTTCGGAAAATTGGCGAAGGAGGAAGACCACGGCGGCGACATGACAAGGGTTTTTTTTTTTTTTTTTTTTTTTTTTTGCGACATGACAAGGGTTGATGACGCGTACTTGTGTGTATGCGATGGGCCGAGGGAGAAGTCGCGTCACATCGCACATAAAATTTTATATAACAACCATACAATATGCTGTTGGGACTCTCGTATGTTAGAAAAATAATTAATGATATGTATTCCTATTAGTTTAATTTTTTAGTTGAAACGATCATTCTGATAATCTTTTCAAAAATGTTCAAAGAAACATATTTATTATGAGTATATTTTTGAGTATGGAATTATGTATTTTAAAAAATATAATACTACTTTCGTTACTCATAAATTATATATATTTTTTATTTTGGTCTCTCTAATTACAAAGTAACTATTTAAATAATATTCATATTTTACTATTACATCATTATTTTTACATAAAAAATAATAACAAAATTATCTTTATATTATTCTTTAACTATCTGCTACAATTAAAATACTTCTCCCTCCGTCCCAATATAATAGTCTTATTTATCATTTTTGTCAGTACCAAAACAATAGTCTCATTTCCATAAATAACCATATCACCGTAAAACTATCCCTACTTTTTCATTATTATTACATAATTACCACTGCTTTTTACACTAATATACTCAAAAGAGAAAAAAAGTCATTTATCCTTATCTTTTACCGACTATCAATATAATATCAATATTTCTTAAATTTCATATCCAACACAATAAGACTATATTTTTGGGACAGAGAAAGTATTATTTTTTAAACTTCTCGCAAAAAATAAATATATATATTTTGGCTGGACGAAGGGGGTAATATAATTTTCATATGTCCCACACCATTGATTTGAGTATGATGAAGATAATATAATAAAATAGGACAACAAATGTGAAAGGGATCGACATTAATTTCTTTCCAAACTATTTGTCTCCATTTGTCTATAACAAGTTGCATAAGAAAGTTGATTTATTAGAAGCTTTTAACTCTTAATTTTACGGTCACGATTTCACCTCAATTCTATTAAATTATTATTTTTTTTTACTGTACAAGGATATTTAGAGCGTGCTTATTTGTAAGATTTTATCCATATTTTACTATTTTAATTTTCTTTTTCCTTTAAAAGATCAAATCAAACACTCAATTTTTATTAATTTTATTAAATTAAAATCTAATTTTATATTCAAAATATTACATAAATAAATATTTATATTACATCAAACAATTATTTCAATTCAAAATTTTATCGTATATATATAATATTATTATTCATTAACCAATGTGAAAATAGTAAGTGCCTTTAGTTCCACTTCCATTTACTCATTGTGCTCGCATTTGTTTTAAAAAATATTTTATCAATGGAGACTCATTTATAATTTTCTATTTCTACCAATCTTTTCAATAAAAGAATATATTTATGCATATTAATTTTTTTTCTTTATTTTTTAGCAACTTAATTTATGTTAATTATAAATATATATATCTATTTACTTTTATAATATAAAATTTATTCTTTACAAGATCACATCCATATCGAATAATTTACTTTTGTGAAATACTTAAATACATATTTTAAATTTATTTAAATTATGTATATATATGACATCATAAATAAATAACAATTAAGTACTTCCACAACCAAACTTCCAAAACCATTAACCAAACACATCGATCCTAAATTAGTGGATGGAGGAAGTATTGAAACTTATTTTCGATTGAAAACATTACATGTATCAATTACTTATTTAAAAAACATCCAACATTTATTTTCAAAACAAGTTAAAAAAGCGACGGGTTTTGTGCTGATGCAGCCAAGTCAGCATGGTGCTGATTAATTTGACCGGATCAACATATATCATATACAAATCAACGTATATTTACACATTGTACAACATATGCTAAATTATAATAGAACATATGCTGAATTATAATATAAGCTACATTGTATTATAAATATGCTAATGCATAGATATATACTGATTACATGTATAACAGATGCTGATTCGGTCAAATCAGCACCATGCTGACTTGATCGGATCAACGGCTGATCCATGCCTAGTTAAAAAGCTATCAAAATTCCATCTACCTAATGTTGTATTTGAACATAGGAGTCGCGATTTGAAGTTGAGAATAATAAAATTTAAACTCTAATAAGTGATTCATGCGACGTTGATACCATATTTCAAATATAAAATTAATTTTGAATAGGACGAAAAGAAAAATATGTAATCAATCTAATGTTTTTTTGGATAGAATAAAATTGGAGAGTCGTAAGAATCCAAGCCAATCCAACGTCCAAACAAAACATATTAACTTAAACGGTTCGCCTAGTGAGATTTGCCTTGTCGGACCTAGTTTACAAGGTATTAGATTCAGCCTGAGGGTTTACCCAGAGTGTACTCGACGAGTAGTGGCTACGGGTTCCTACGTTATAAAAAAAAAAACATATAACTTAAACTATCAAAGCCTACAACCTTTCGTATAAAGCAGGTAATTTCCAAAACCACAAGCCTAGCTAACAATTATATATTAAATGAAAATTCCAGAACATGAACAAACTAGCTAGTAGTTTAAATACATACCCACAAGCCTAACAAATTATAAATGAAAATTCTAGAACATCAACAAAACTAGTAGTTTAAATACACACTAGTTCCTTATCGAAAATTGAAGAACTCAAAACTCGAATTTAGAAAAATATAAAAATGGATCAGTTCTCTCAAGCAATTCTTACATTAGTCTCAATTCTTGTAATATTTTCTTCCATCTGCTACTTCAAATTTCTGTCCAAATCTGCAGCAAAATTCCCACCAGGGCCATGGGGTGTTCCGATACTCGGCTATCTCCCGTTCATTGGCGCTGATATGCTCAGTAAGTTCTCCCAACTCGCGAGCAAGTACGGAGAAATTTACATGCTTCGTCTTGGCAACAAGCTTTGTGTTGTCATCAATTCTCCGTCACTGGTGAAGGAGGTTGTCCGAGATCAAGACAATGTTTTCTCCAACAGGTCCCCGCCGGTTGCTGCCTTTATCGGGACTTATGGCGCGAAGGATATTGCGTGGTCGCCCAACAACTCCGAGTGGAGGGCGTTGAGGAAGGTTTTTGTGCGCGAGATGCTAAGCAATAGAAGCCTTGAGGTTTCGTTATACATAGTCATTAATTCTTTGGGAATAGTATTTTATCTCACTCGTCGTCGCGCTCTAATAATTCTAATATTGTGTGTAATACTTACGTGTGATTATTTTCTATATGATATTGCTACTTACTTGAGAAAATTGCATCTTATATCTACAATACTTCATTTATCTCAATTATTCAATTCAAATTTTAAAAAGTTTTTGAAATTTTAATTTATTCAACAATCTATGGTTTTTGTTGGATCCTTTTATAAAATTGTTAACAAAATTTATATTATAAAATTTCTGATTATGATATGAGATTTTTATGGATTCTAAAAACACAAGCTGTATTATAAAAAATATATATATATGTACAATTTCAAAACCAAGGCTATTAGGTTTGATTTAGAGTTTTGGTTTCGCACAAAGTATCTTGTAATATTTCAAAATAATACTATGAAGGAAGTTTTTCTATTCTAATGGTCAACCTATTATTATTTTCCTCCATTTTTTTTTTCCACCACGATTCATGTCAATATCTTCACAAAGTCGCATCTTAATTTTATTTCATGTGTAGCTTTCTTACACTCTTCGAAAGAACGAGGTGAGGAAGGCCATTCAACGAGTTT